TATTGGGGACGGTATACAAAGAATAAAGCTTATGCTGGTTATGCCCGATAAATAGTCCAAAAAAATCACCAATAGTATATTTGCTACATATTAACTTTTTTAGGGCTGTATGTAATCTTAATTTCTTAGACAGAGTACTTATACATTGTACGAGGATATATTTTCCTATTTTATAATATATTTTATAATATATTTTTTTTACCGTCAGTAGAGTTCCTGTAAGTAGTTTCAATTGAGTAAAAATAAATATTTCTACTTATTTTCAATAAGATCACAAACAGTATGCTAATGTGATAGCATGTCCTTCTGTAACTTTATGCGTGTAATCAGTTAATAATTGATAAATAACACGCATAATGTAACTACCTGACAATACGGACTAACAACTAAAAATAAAACACATATTGTTTTGTCTTGTTTACACACTTTAAGATCGCTAATTAATATAATGTTGAAGTTTAAGTATGCTTGTAGGCTTTTCGTACCTGTGTAAGGGATTATTGATACCGAGAGAGAGTGTGAGGGATCTCTCTCATGCTACCAAAAAAGTAAGGGAAACGGTTACTGGGTCGGTCGTTTACCGATAGAGAGATGGTGAATGGTTTTTATTTTCTCTTTTCAGTGAAACCCCGTTGGTTTAAATAAGTTTACCAGACCTGAGCAAACTATTTACTTCGTACTAACACTACATTAATATTAAACTAAGAATAAAACTTATGAACACAGAGTTTAATACATTTAGTTACATCAATTAGACGTCACAAAGGTTTATATGTTAAAAGCAAAAGAAACAATACAAATAAGACATAGCCTGTCTTTCTTATTCAAGAAAACATCTATACTAATCTATACTAATAGTTTCGCTGTCTGTCTATCTATCTATCTGTGTATCTATTTATCTATCTGAAAAGAACACTATAGAGATAACACAAGCAAAATAAAAACTTTCATAGTAAAACGAAAACGAAACACGACGTCACATGGAGCATATAGTAGAAACTAGTATCAAGCCGGAGAGTGCACATAGTAATATGACGTCATTGATTCTCGAGTAAACATTGAATTAAAAAAAATTGGAATCAGATTTGTCACATAAACTGCTGAAAGGAAACCAGAACGTATTCGTTCTGGTCGTAAAAATGTTTCTGTGAGTTAGGCATATGAAGAAACGCCTACTTAACTTTTCTTTTCCTAACGTGAACCAGGTACGAATTAGAGCTGGTGGACTCATGTAAGACCTGTGAACTCAAGCCAAAATCCAAACCTGAATCTTTCAAGTTACCAGTCGTGTTCACTATCGCCGGCCACGACGTTCAATTATAATACTCGTACATGAAGTAAAACGGAGTCTTCTTAAAGAATAAAAAAAGCAGGGATGTCTTAGGGGGTTACAAAATCAACAGCAGAGAACCGGACAAAAAGGGAAATTATGGTTGAGGCACTATAATACTCAAGAACTAAAGAGGGTTAAGTAAGTAGGTACTTGATGGAAAAGGACGTATTTAATTCAATGTTAGAAATTTGAACTGAAATAAAAGGTAGGGCCTACATACTAGCAAAATGCAACTTTTGAAAATGTATGTATTTAGTTTTAAAACAAACACAATATAACGTAGAGGAATTTATCCTTGTGTAGAACACGTTAAACATGACTCGAGTTAATCTTACAAAAAGTTAATAGCAAGAGATGTACACACATACTAAATTCAAATTTAAGAATATGTAGGGGTGTTTTAAATGGATGTTGATGATGGTAACACGATGAGTATAGCAAACAATACTTATGGTAGCTTGATGATAAACACACACACACATACACGCATACACGCTCGCATGCACTCTCGCACACACACAAATAATATGTGTTATGCATGTCTACTTCTATGATTTCGAATGTTTTTCAATTTGCAATTATTAGAAAATACCTATTCTCCGGCGAGAGCGATTATGATACTAGTTTATTGATAGGCACTGACAATTAATAACAGGGAGAGATAATTTAATCGCCGGAAAATGGCCACTGATTAAATTATGTAGTTTATTGTCCTGTAAATGACCATCATCTATTAACGCAAAATAAAGCAACATATTTATATATATCACAATTATAAGCTAGTTAGCACTTTATAAATCAGATACTTAACATGAAAGACAACACAAATAATCGCATTACTCTATACTGTATGTATGATACATACTCTCTTTAAAAAACACCCGATGTTTTTCATAACATTCTATGTATCGTATGGATATCTAACGGTCAACTGTCGTTTTTATTTCCAGCCCAATGCATGGCGTGAATTGTCATTTGTATTTTCAGCCTAGCAAGGGTCATTGCTATAAACCTACGACTGAACTAAGTGTATGTCACCCTTTAACATTATGTATGTTGTGATAGTTTACATGATGGGTTTTTTGACTTGATATATTACAAGTACCAAAAAGCCATTTTCAGTTTGAGACGCTTTTTGTATCTTTAACATCACACAACAATCTACAATAATTAAAAACCCAACCACACTTCACACACTCAACTGCGTACTCGTTAACAAAACAAAAAGTTTTTAGTCCACTTTGCCTAGTTTTACCTTGACCCTATTTCCCTACTTATGTTAAAAACAATAAGGGAGAGGGGGCGTTCTTAAACCATTAAAACTACGTTACACTCTAGCCTGTACATTGGGTGGCGCTATTAAGTGGGTCAACGGTAAATAAACTATAACAAATTGTGTTTAGTAAGTGAACTTAAAAAAAACTACGTTTGGACCAATTAATTAACAGATAAGTAAATGTGCAAACCGAAACAAAGTGCAGTGAAATGACGCGGGAGTGATCTCCTCTACACGTACTAGTATATTCCTTATAAAACAGTAGGGGGAGGATTGCTAAAAATAAAAATATGATTTATTGAACATACATTTCTACATACTAACATTTTTAATTGTGTTCAATTGTGTTTATTTAGTACACATTTGCACGTAATCGTGAGTCAAATTGCGACTACTTACACACACAGAATACTTTTATTCAATAAAGATTTAGAAGTAAGATACATACATGTTTTATCCTATTTACTTTGACACAGGCGCACACACCTTGTACCTAGTTGACGCCTTGAGGAGGGTTGGTAAGCCTGCTGGATAAAACGGTTGCGTCCGGTTTTAACATTTTGAAGGCTGTTCGTCACGTTTAGCTGTCGGCCTTGTGTTAGATAGATGTGTACTTGGTTAGTTGCCGTGGTAGGTTAATTTAGGGTCGCGTAGAGACTATAATCAGTTTTAGATTAAAAAAAGCTTTGGTCACTAAAAATTTTAAATAATCTCATGCGCGACCAACGTTTTTATTGAAATAAAATGTTTGTTCATTTTCTTATTTTCAGTGCTTTTAAAAGCCTGTTATTATAAAGGCTATTATATTTGTTTTATTAATCCCTTTTTTGTAATTCGTTCTAAATGAACGACTACAAATTTTTGCGTTAAAATTTTTTTAGGAACTACACACAATAGAAAAGACAATTTGAATACAGCTAAATACAAAATAAAATAAATATTAATGTTAGAAAATGAATACAATACATCCAACACAAACCCTTCCCCCCCCCTCCCCCGTTTAAAACAATATAAGTAAGATTCTACTTTATCAATACATACGTTTGTAAAATTTAAATGTTTCAACCAATACATATAACAACACACCATGTCAGATGATGATCTAGGGCAGAAGGAAAAACCCGACACAGTTGACTGCACACAGGTTCACAAGACGACTACGACAATTCATTAACTTGCGTGTTGTTGTATAGCGAAGTGGTCTGCAGACTCCATGGTTTATAAATAGCAATATGTTTTCAAACGTTCTATAATGCAAGTGCTCTGGGATATAAGTCATTTACTTACGCTGACATTTTGTTACGCGAATTATATATACACATTTGTTTTTAAAATTGTTATTTTTGCATTTATCCAATAAGATATTTTAATATCTTATAGCTTCATTAGTCTCATAGCAGGCCGTGCACATCTGATGTAGAAAAAAAAATTGCATCACGTAGAATTTTCCTTAAGAAACTTTTATTTAACACTACATGTAGTTAATAGTGTGTCAAAATGTCAGTTGTGTGTTGACTGTGATGCGCTTGACACGTTTAATTTGAATAAATTATTTCATAAGTCGGCACACGAAGAGTTAAATACATACGGGAATAAACAATAGAACAGATTTTCTTTTAAAACAAAAAACAAAATATTACATTTCTTTTTGTATAAAGTAGAGCAGATTTTAATGCCTTTATAGCGCGTTAGATTTTCTTTCTTTGTCGAGCTTCTACTTTTAAAAAACAAACTCGATAAATAATATAAAATGGTGTTTTATAACAATGTATTCATTTAAATACCAGATTCTTAAAATCTTCTCCAAAAGAAGATTATTTTTACAATTCGTTTTTAAAGAAGATTTTATAGCTCTAAAAATGCCTTTAATTTGTGTATATGGTGTTTTGCCTAAAAAAAATATTGACACAAAATTTTCTGCCCCTGCTATTGGATTATGCCCCTTGTTAAATTTTTATAATAATAATACGACATTCATTGTTAATTTCATTTATATGATTAGTACCAGTTATTTTTAATTGTGTTGTAATTCATTTTTTAAATGCTATTTAAAAGTTGCATTTACTTAATAGATGTTTTTTTTAAGACACGACACATACATGTAATTAATTATTTAATGATTTTTGTTCATAGCGCACACTGTCCTCCTTCAGAACTGTTTGAATCTATGCCAAGTCTGCTTACATATCGCACTCTTGAAGGTGTGAAATGTCTTCATAATAAAAATGTCGTTCATTTGTATGTTATGCGTACAGAACGCCGAAACTCTACTTTTTAAAAATGCAGGGCATGTTGTTTAAAAAAATTGAGTTTCAAAAACACATATTATTATGTATATGTAGCCCTTGTTATAATTTTTTTTAATGTGAGAGAATGAGGACTAGAATATAAACCAACAACAATACTAAAATAAAAATACAGAATTAGTCTTGAAAATTAAATGTTTTCACGTACTTTTATTAAAATAGGAGTGTTCTTAATAAAATGAAAGGTACTCTATGTATTATGTTTTTTGTGTTTGCGCTTTATGGATCATCTTAATTTTTAATGAAAAACAGTTGCTCCATACGATAATAACATAAATTAAAAATTAATTAAACATTATATAGACACAACAACACTGCTCTAAACACTCAGCTTAAAAAGAAAGTAATTTCAAAAATTAAAACACTTATTTGCGTTACGAATTAAATTGAATGTACTTAAAATTATGTAACCAATGCATCTGCACATGTATTTTCTACAACAATAAAAGGATCGTAGTGTAGCAGTCAATAGGCTGTCGGTCTCAGTCTAGCTTCTTGTTGAAAAATTCTGTCCAAAAATGCTTTTAAAAGATCTGAAGCTGATGCAGGCAGTTGGATAAGCAGGGGATCTCGGTTCTTTATTCTGAACGCAATCTGTACATCAAGCAAAGAATTGTTTGGTGGTTTGCCCGTCAACATTTCTACAACAGTGCAGCCTACACTCCTGTCAAGATAATACAATACTCAATAGAATCAAAATTATACATGTTAAGTATTAGTTTGTTAAAAACTTCATTTACATGTTTTTTCTCCTATAAATGCATAATGTTAGCGAAATAAAAAGTAATTCCTCGCAGTTTAGTACTGAAAGCACCCGCTTATGCGCTGAAAGATTAATAAAACAGGTACAATCAATAAACATTGGATAGCCAGGAATACAGGCGTTGTCAAGGAAGCTTGGAATAGAGTGAAGGTTAGGGGTTGCATTCCTACGAGTTTCATAACGAGGAGAAATTGACCATAAACATTTGAATACAATGTTCCTAAAAGATAATATTTTTACACTTGGTATTGTAACAGACTGCATTATTATTGGGTTTGATTATTATATTGTAATTTACACGAAGTTGCATGAATGTAGAGTACCTGGCCAACGGAAGGACTGTCTGAGCGACTCGTTATGTATTTTTGCACGCTTTTGTTAGATCGCTCATTGACGTAAGGGGAGAGAATGTAGCGTATAAAATTGAAGCACAAGGTGAACGAAGGGGGAGCCGGACGTTTTCCCGAAAGACACTTGCCCGAATGCCGTTTGCCCGAAGGCCGATTTCCCGAATGGACACTTGCCCGAATGCGAAAAATGCCCGAATGGACACTTGCCCGAATGCGACAAACGCCCGAATGGACACATGCCCGAATGCGACAAATGCCCGAACGGACACTTGCCCGAATGCGACAGATGCCCGAATGGACACTTGCGTTTGTCGCATTCGTGCAAGTGTCCATTCGGGAAATCGGCCTTCGGGCAAACGGCATTCGGGCAAGTGTCTTTCGGGAATTTGTCGTAGACCCGAACGAAGGGTGCCTGTCTGTGACTGTGTAGTAAGATGTAAGATGAAACCACGTCAATTTGTTTCTAGACTATAATATGATAGTCATTTCTTCTACTATGGATTATCGTCATTATTCTTGTGGATCTATGTAAATAAAGTTTAAAGTTAAAAAGCACTGTTGATCGTGTTCCTGAATGAAAGAACCCACAATAACAACCGTATTGCCATATCAACAAAAATACGAGTTGTTACAGGTATTTCAAATATTTGTATAATGGTTTCAAGATAATCATGTAAAAACTAAAGAAGCTACCAAATATCTGCTCGGCTGGTATATTTTAAAATCTTTCCAGCTGTGTAGATCAATTCGGGTGCCATGTATCGTATTGTTCCACTGTCTGATTTTATTCCATTTTCATCAACAATTTCAGAGAGCCCGAAGTCAGTTATCTTAATATTCCAGTCGTCGTGCATTAGAATGTTGTTACCTATGGGGTATAGAATATAAGAACCAATGTTAAATTAGTTTACACCAGGTAACATCTATACATGAAAAGAACTTTAATGAAAAGGTAATTAATCAAATGATTATACTATTATTTTGAAATGTATTTTTTGAATTTTTTTTATCAATGATAAACAATAATCTGTACGGTTATCATATACCTTTTATGTCTCTATGTAAAATATTTTTATGATGCAGGTATTCCACACCCTCCAAAATTTGAATGGTGAAATGACGTGTCAAGGTCTCATCTAAACTTCCTCGTTTTGATATGAACGACGAAAGAGAACCCTAGACACAATTTTAAAAGTTAAAAAAAATGAAAACATTAGAAGCTAATTAGGGAAATAATACATTATAAGTTAGAATATATATATATATATATATATATATATATATATATATATATATATATATATATATATATATATATATATATATATATATAATGGAAATTTTGCAACCTCTCTCTTAAGCAGCATTTTTCCCTTATTACTTGTGGTTTTAAGTAATATTTTGTGCTTTAAGTAGTGTCGTATAAGCTGTGGTGATTTTCCTAAGTGCCATATCCTGTGATTGTGTAAAATAGTGTTTTTTCTTCAAATTGTAAGTTGGGTTTTTGATATTCTACTCATTCATTTTATTCTGTATAAAGCTAGAGTCTTATCTTGAATGTGTACGCTTATTAAAAGTTATATATGGATTAAATGTGTTGTTGGTATCAGGAGTTTATCGAGTGTATCCCGTAGACGTTAAGTACGTGTCGTCGTTAACTGTTGTGCTAGCTACCATTTATAGGGCTTTATGCCATCTGTGTATAACCATCTAAACGAACCCGGGTACGTTCGCCAGCTATCTGGCTGATAGAGTGGTGTTTCGTAATACGTTGCAGAACTACTCAGAGTAGCAGAGGATCGAGACATCGGAAATTATTTATGAGAACTGTGTTGTCTCGACGACCCAATTAAAACTTAATTAATGATAGATTGATTGATATATTTACTTACCATTTTAACAAACTCCAAAAATAACAATAGTTCATTTTCTGTCTTTTGAAATCCGTGAAATTGTACAATCCTCTCGTGCTTGAGTCTAATTAATATCGACGCTTCTTTTTGAAAACTTTCCTAAAAAAACATGACAAAAAGTAATTGCACATTAAACGAAAGAGATTAAAATAAATAGCTTATTTAGCATATTATATTCTAATGTTTCATGATTAAGTTAATTGCTAGAGCGGTTAAGAAATGTTCTTTTGAAATTAAAAGTACATTTAATCTGATACAAATCCTTTATTATCTTAAACTGTTTTATTTACCATATATTTCCGTGTGTCATTTAATTTTTGGAACATTTTCTTAGTAACAAATTTCACATCTTTAGGCCCATTTATATCATTGACAAGGTGAACGCTACCAAAACCACCAAAAGCTATCGGGTTCGGTTCAATTTTAAACTCTCTGGGAAACTCCTCAGAAACTACAAAGTCTGTAAAAGTAAACATAGTTTATTATTTCTTGTTTTACACATTTTAATTTATAAATAGAACATAAAGTATTCTATATGATCATTCAAAAACTTGTATTACTTAGTTGTGCACGTTGTTGTTATTTATTAATTCTTTGACCTTTGCTACAAAACACTAATAATTCAATATTATTTATGAAATGCATACAATTCAATTTACATACAATTAGATATCTATACCCGACCTGCTTTGGATGGCAACATTCCTGTAGCACGCCCAGATCTCCAACGTATAGAATGTACATTTGCTGAGATATCCTTGTGGCCTCTGCTTAATGATTTATTTACCAAATCACTTAATGTTTCGTCTCTTATGATTTGTTCACTTGCTTTAGGTAATCTACTCAACTCTCTAAAACATTTGGTAGTAAATATATGTTCCTCTATATCTTCATGTGAAAGAATTTCTTTTAGGCGGGGAACAAGTGGTAACATCTGTTTAATGACAAATAAAAACAAACAAATGGATTTAATATTATAAATATAAAATAAATACATGTTATAACGTCAACGTATCTGACCTATTTAATTATTTTAATTAAATATCCATTTTATAACTAGTAAAAATATGTTTAGAATTTCAATAAAAAAGTACTCGCTGATACACTAAACAAAAAACAAACCTCGTTCAAATATTCATCTCGCTCTGTAAATTTACTTAGTCCTTGAAGCAGTACAGAAAGTGGCAAATCAGATAGTCTTTTATCCTCCCCTCTTACCGCCGGTATTAATCTTTCTTTTACCCTACGTTTTACTTTTCCTTAATAAGAAAGTGTTTTCTTTAGTATTGTACGTAATATATAACAGCTAATATTTAAAAACTGTATGTTTGTTTAATGAACATTTGCTTTTATTATTAAGAAAGTTTTAGTGAGCTAATTCACATAATAATAACCGTTCACGTCGTTTCTCGACTAGATTCTTTTAAACTACATTTAAGGGAAATGGTATGATAGATCGTGCTCTTGGTTACACAAATTAAACGTTATCAACGAATCGATAATATATTTAATTATTTTTATGTTAAAACATATACATTTACTTTTTAAAATCATGCATTTTTTAAATAATCGAGATAACAATATTTCTCAATGGTGTTTATAGTTTTAAAGATGTGTGAGAAACTGTTTATTTATAAATGTAAGCCGAAAAATTCATCTGTACAATTTAGACTTGATAAAATATAAATGTATTAAAAGTATGTTTGTAATAGTTAACTGTTTAAATACATGTGACGGCTTTGGGAATTTTTAAAACTTTAAAGAATACAATAAAATAAATAATATTAGATGCAAAAATAATTACTTATCTCCTCTTTTTCCACGATATTGTCCTCCTCTAATAGTATAACCAAAAGGTTTGATAAAAACAACGTGCCAATGTCCATAAATTTCATGTTTAATATAGCCTAAAATTTAATTAATTATACATTATAATATATAATTATAAATTAATCATGTTAATTATATTATGGGCATATAATTTAAGATTATTTAAATGTATGGAAAATATTAACGTATATGAATATTTGTTGAAAAGACTCAAGACATGATTTGCCATATTGTTCAATTAACTGAATTGATTTTAGGATATTTAGACCAAAGCTGCAAAAATGTTTTATCGAAATTCATATCAGTTCCTATTCAAATGCTAGCCGGCTAATGTGTAGGACTACTTCACTTCTGAATAGTAGCCAATGTATCACATGGCTGTGTACACCTTTATGCCATGTATATAGGGGAGACGGTGTTTATCGGTATGTAGATAGAGCAGATAGATGTTAAGCTGTAATTTATTGCTGTAACACGCATTTTGAATATTATTCTTGTGTTGTTGTAACCCGTTAGTGGTCATTTACCTTATATGTTGCCCAGCGCACTGGGTAACCCGAAAAGGCGTGTCAGTTTTTTCACAAAATGTTAAAAATAAATTACAAAAAATAGAAGAAAGCCTGTGTGTAATCATTACAATGTCAAACATATTATAATGTCCAAATCACAAATGTGCATACTTAAAAAACGCAACAACTAAATAAATCCTATAAAAAGTTAAAACTTGTAAATAAAGCACACAGGTCATTAAACTATACTTAAAATTAAGTTTAAATTTAATATAAATTCTATCCTCTATTATATAACCATGAAATATAGGTATATGCATGAAGTTGAACTAATCAGATTTCTGTTCAACTACACCAGGGGTCGGCAACCTTTTGAAGCGGAAGAGCCAAAAGTTACAATTTTCAAAATTTCCGAGGTTTTTAAGAGCCACTAACATTTTTTTTATTACAAATATTTTATTTTTTTATTAAGATTATTAGTATTTGTGCAAGGAGCTGGAGAGCCGCATCTTGATATTAAAAGAGCCGCATGCGGCTCGCGAGCCGCAGGTTGCCGACCCCTGAACTACACCAATCTATGCCCTTCGCATGAACATTTCCAATTCCAATATTGAAACATTTTGTAAAAACAAATACATACAACTATTCTTAAATCTATGTCGTATGTGCATATAGCAAATGTTACGTCCAGGGTTCGATTCAGCTCAACAACGATTCATGACACATATAGTATAATTTTATTTAGTTTCACGTTTAACGTTACAGGGTCGCCCTCGCCCTAATCGCTACCAACTAACCCTTTGCAACCATTCACTCCAACTTTTATACCACATTCGGACTTGGGATAAAAATACATAAACACATCGGGGTTAACAATACTCAAGGGTAAACTCAACTCACGCACGCACTTTCTCCCAATTATAGACTACTAGGCATACTGCCTAGCTTCGCTTAGGTTTTCAAAAAAATTGAAGAATTGAATAATTAATTAATAGGTGATTGGCTGCTATCTTAAATGCTTAGGGCCTAAATTTATACAGTGGAGTAATTTCATGCTACACAAATATTGATGGAATATTCGCAAACTTATTACTCGCACGGTTATTAGAACTGCAAGGGAATTCTCAATAGTATCAATCAAATATTATAATAAATTACTTTCGCAATTAATTTTTACAATTTTAGTACAATGCAAAACTTAATTTATAGCAAACTATTCATTTAAAACAATGCTATACTCTATGATTTTTGTTTTTTTCTTGAAAAGAGAATACAAAATATTTAAAAATTATTACATTAAAAAGTTACTTCCCCTGTTCATAGACTAAATGCCCAAATCTCGCATAATGAGAATTTCACTCGCGGTCACTTTTTAGCCCTCGTTGAGGGCTTTGAGTGAAACCGACAGTTTTCCCTAAATGTCAAGCCATTTACCTAAAAGCATGCAAAACATTAGCCAGATGTAAAGATGGTAAGTGCCCTAAAATCCGTTTTGGAATCACCCTCTGTTTTTCCCATAAAATACAAAGATTATGTAGGGAAATACGACTGGTCAGTTTTGACCCATTTATCGAATTTTCCCGGACATGGCGAGTTTTTTGTGACACCCCAAGGCGTTCTCCTACCACCTCACAAAATTTCAAGGGGGGGGGTCGTCGGAGGAAATTTTTTTTCGTAATAGAGCTCATATAAAGAGAATTCGACTCGCGGTCACTTTTTAGCCCTCGTCGAGGGCTTTGAGTGAAACCGACAGTTTTCCCTAAAGGTCAATCCATTTACCTAAGAGCATGCAAATAATTAGCCAGATGTAAAGACGGTAAGTGCCCTAAAATTCGTTTTGAAATCACCCTCTGTTTTTCCCATAAAATACAAAGATTATATTGGGAAATACGACTGGTCAGTTTTGACCCATGTAACTAATTTTCCCGGACATGGCGAGTTTTTTATGACACCCCAAGGCGTTCTCCTACCACCTCACAAAATTTCAAGGGGGGGGGGGTCGTCGGAGGAAATTTTTTTTCGTAATAGAGCTCATATAAGGCGCCGGTCAGTCGAGGTCAGTTTTGACCCCTTCTCCGTAGACATTTCGGCCAACCGTCACCGTCCCTCGTGTTCTATCGCCCCAAGGCACCATCGTGCCAAATTTGACGCGCCTGCGGCGCCGGGAAGTGCCCTGTCGGGCACCTGACCACTTTGCTTTATATATATAGATTCTAACCTATTTCTATCTAACCTACAACTGACCCGTAACAGCAACAATCTAAATCAAATCCTTATCCTAAATCTTAACTTAACCAAAGATTTAAAACTATATCTAAACATAAAACAACAATACTCATATAGATTATTAACATACATTCTTTACATAATCGACCATTACCAATTTTTTGTTTCGCAGGATAAATATTCTCTAAACCGATAAAGTAGCACCTTAAATAAACAATAAAATATATACTACTGACAAAAAAAAACGTATATGCATGAAGCCTTTATGCGCCAATCTTGATTCTATGTTCTAAATTCAACTAACATCAATGTATGCATCATATTATTAAATCTAACTACCTAACAAAAACAAATCGTTACACAAATATTTTGTAGTTGGCTTCATAGACACCCCTTTTTGTCTCAAAAACATAAAATTATAGGTAAAATATGTTAAGTATTATACATTTACTAAGATCTATTAGAAGATGGTATTTACTATTTTGTAACCAGGTACAATTGACTCACTTCAGCAGTTTTGTTACTTGTAAAATATTTCTTTACACCTTCTCGGCGGGCTATGTTGATGAGAATGTCAATTACTCGTTTAGTTATGACTCGAGAATGCGTATTCTGTAAATGAAATACATTGTCACGAGTTATTAGTTGATTTAATTTTAAGGATAGACACCACGGATAAAAATTATAATATATAATTATTATATACTCGCATACTCTTATATACCTCTATTTCTCTATCTCTCTCTCTATGTATGTATACATATATATATATACATATACATATATATATATATATATATATATATATATATATATATATATATATATATATATATATATATATATATATATATATATATATATATATATATATATATATATTCCTTAACACACAAAAATGCACGTGACCAAGAAAAAAGCATATTTTTTAAACGATTTACTATGTTACCTGTAATTTTTTGCTTGAATTAAGAAAATCAGTAAACAATTTGACGACATTCAACTCAGACAATTTCTACAAAGTAAATGCAAATATAATGTCTTATTAATTTTTTTTTGTGTTCAGATGTATTGGCGTAATTTGTATTATTTTTTATTTATATGTTTTATTAACCAGAATTAAAGTATTTACCAAAGCAAAATCTGAACTATAACCACAACCGTCAGAAAACAACTCCAGCACATCACGAATTAAAGACATCTCAAATCCTGGTGCTGTTGTATCGAGAAGATTTTTTTCTTCCAAACTTTTGATAGTATAATCTGTAACGACAATATTTTAGGAAGTGATTTTTTTTGACCGAATTGATTATTAAATTACAATAATATCAAAAGATTATGTATTTCCAAGTGATATGTTTATCATAACACAAATATGGTACACTACAATTCTAGGTACTCAACGGACTTTTATTTTAAGTACATTAATCTCTCCCTTGTGTGCCTTAGAAACATAGTCCAACCACAGAAAGCCGTTACTAATTTTGCCGGTCTCTGGCAATTTTCTTCAAAAAAGTCACCCAGGATAGTCATGCTTTTGACAGCTGTTATTCAGCTTCCACGTCTTCTTTGGCCTTCAATCTCTTCATTGATATGATATCGTCATGTTAAATATCAGAACGTGTTGATCAACTCATCATTACTTTGAGTGATAAAGGGTCGTGTAAACCGTCTCAGTCATTACAGATAGTGATTATAAAATCTAGCAAATCCAGCGTAACAGTCTGATTTGATTTCCCAAATGTAGTACTTACGCTGACGAATGTTATCAGTATATTTTATTAGGCCACAGCATTAGATCTCATGGGACTTGTTAGGAAGTTGTAGGCTAGTATAGTACAATATACCCTGTCTTCAGCGTTTTAGAGTAGTTTTAACTCGACAGAATAATTTTTTAATTCATTGAAAAATAAACTATAAAAACCAAGCAAGTCTTTTGTCTTTACGATTGTTTGCTGTTGGTTTATGTACATTAATTACAAAACAAACTCAAGCATAACGACTGGATTATTGGCTAACATTGCACCAGAGATAGCAGCTCACTAAGTCACCGACATAACATACGAGTAGAGACAAGGTGAGATAGATGCCACCAGTAAGAAGTGTAACAACTTAGCAGTCGATTAATTACACTACTACTAAGGGATCATCCATAAGTGACGTCACATTTTTAACGATTTATATTTCCCCCTCCCCTCCGCCACACATCGTCGCAAAACGTCACCCCCTAAATGACGTCATACCTCATGCTACAACCTCCTCAAAATTGCAGTTGAATTTTCTTTTAAATACTATAGTTTGTGTCCAAAATCTTGTCTGAACTCTATCAACAAAGAGTATTTTAATCAAGTCCTATTTCAATTCTTTAATACAGTTTTCTAAAACGCGAAATAACGGCTAAAACTCATTATCTAAAATTTTTATTTTAAATTGCAATAGTGTGACGTCCCATCATCCAACACCTCCTACGGACCTTCCCTCCCCTAATAGTGTGAAGTCATTTATGGACGACCCCTAATCATATATGGTTTCTGTGATGGAAAAATTTACATTTTTGCAACATTGTTTTTAAGATTTACGTCTAAAATTACCCGTATAGTTAAGTTGCAATAGTAAAGAGAAAAACGTCAGTCGATCACACTCATTTGCAGCAGAGCTAATTGTTTTTAAACATCTCTGGTACACGAAGAAATGTAAAGCGTCAAAGACTCTCATGGTTGAAAACTCAGACATTACGTCAGAAATAAAATCCTGTAATTCTTCACGGGTTGGTGTCTGAAAATATTTTAAAAATACGTGATTAAGCAGAGTAATGATATTGTTATCGCAAAATTTTTAAACTACATAATTTAACACGTGTTTCATAGGCCTCTCTTTTTATTTTAATCAATTTTACACAAGGTAATTTTTTTAAAAATTATTTCATTCATTGTTATTTTATACAATTGAGCACATTAGTGTTGAAACCAGCAGGCGATAGGGTACGCCAAGGACTGACGGGGACTCGTAGTGCGATACCATAGAACAGCGTCAACTCCTGGAACGGCGGTTAGGGGAAACCACCCTGGGAGTTTAACTAGGGGGTTGAACTCCCGAGGCGACTGAACCTAATTGCTACAGCAATCCGAAGTCCCCTGAACCTGTTTTTATAAAATGTCCGAAGGCCATTTACGATCAAGCTGGGTACCATGACGGTGGGACGACGTCCTGCGTCGGGTGATGGGGAAGGTAAACCCGGAGAGAGCCCACGGAAGGGAAGCGACCAAAACACAGTGTTCAAACCAATATCTTCGTGAGTTGCGAACAGCTTACGCCAAAAGCCAGTTAGTTGGGGTACACTGTGTGGAGGCCGGCCTGGCTATTGGGGGCGTATCTCCTGAGCCGGTGTTCCGTGTCATTTGAGTGTTGAAACTACATGAAACCACTGGCAATAGATAATTATGTATAGGGATTTGAAAAAAAGTATATTTAAAATATAAACCCATACATAAACCCGATTCAACTACGTTTAGAAACGAATACAATTTTCTATTATTCCGTGATCCGACCGCATGTATTGCATCAATGTGCTGCAAACAACGTTTTTAAAATACCCCCCCCCCCTCCTTTCCTTTTTTATGTTTTCAAATTTGCTATTTTTGTTTAAGAAAGAACGGCCTAGTGACTTTTGTAATGCCTTTTTTAAGTTTTCCCAATTAAAACACATTTTTTTCTGTACGTCACTGGACAACGGTTATCAGTAAAAAAATTAAACATATGAGCTAAACATTAGTAGTATTGATTCAATTGCACCGATATATACACAGGGCCGGCGCTACCTTTTAAGGCGAACTAGGCGGTCGCCTAGGGCGCTATCCATAGTGAAGCGCTAAAATGGGTAATCGCAATTATTAAAAAGTACCAATTAATTAATAACTTTGATTATATTATGTAAACTAAAAGGTAATTTTCAAAAGCGTAGCAATCTATATCGGTGTCCAGGACGAACTATCCATTCTCAGCCCCTTCTTCAAATTAGGCCTATATTTAGTTATACGAGTTGATGAAAATGCCCCCCCCCCAACCTCCCTTATTTAGAAAGTTCGGGGCGCTTTTCACCATTTAATTTGCCTTTTTCTTTTTGGTGTTACACAGTTGATGTAGAAAACAATTAAGTTAATCCGTAATGCTAAGTAGCAGTCTGCATTCTTTATTTCGACAGTATGCTATTAAGTAATGAGCTTTTTAGATTATTATCTACCATGGTTGGCGCCCCCTTTGGGTCGCTGCTTGTGGCGGCAGCCCCATCCGTCCTCCCCTAGCCACGCCTCTGATAATATAAAGAGATAATTATTGTATTCACTCTAAATGTTTTAGTGATTATCTAATGTAATGTTGATTTAGTGATCTAGCGCTTGACGTGACGTTGTAAAACACGAAAAGTTTTTATTTTTGATATGGTTTGTAAGTCTTTTAAATTAATTTTTTTCGGCGGGCATAAATGAGATCTTTTAAAACTAGATTATTTCAGACCAGAAATGATTTTCAGCTTATCGTGAAATAGGCTAAATGGTTTAATTAAGAATTTAGAGTCTAATTATCTATAATATAAGGGGGCTGTGTCTGTCCTTCCTTCCTTCCTTTCTTCCGTCCGTCCGTCCGTCATCGCTATAGATTTTGGGACTATAAAAGTAAACATTCGCACCATGCTGTGCTTTTCAGTGCTCCGCAGTGTCTTATTATAAGTAATAGAGTAGGGTTTGTTTATATAGCGGCATAGAGCTATTTTATAATTGCCACGGTTTTTACTCTTTCGCATAACGTCAAGAAAATATTAAATACACGCAAACTGCTAAAACGTATTAAAAAGATTAATGTCAAATATCATTTTCGTTTAGGCTCCCAGAAAAAGTGGATACATTTTAATAACATAATAACAGTAGGGTAGAAAAATCAAATTAATTTAACTCTTTTCTAATTTTGACAAAGGAGGTAATTTAAAAATACATTAAACTCACGCTAATCAAAAATGTGAATGCAAATATTCGTTCGTCATAGAAGGAATTAGTGTTGCAATAATATAATTAGCAAAATGTGAATGCAAATTATTCGGATGTGTAAGAGGAAATTATTGTTAGAAAATTATAATTAGCATGGATTGATAAAAGGCAATCTTTTATTTCTTTTATTCACTGAATGTAGGCCCTACTGTTTATTACTTATAATTTTTAATCAACTATTCAGCACTATTATAGGCGCGTCATCACGTTCATTAGGTGCGCAATGGTTTTAGTTATGAAACTCAATTGTAAATTTTTAAAATTTAAAGTACTGGAAAAAAAATGCGTGAATGGATAAAGTGAAATATTGTAGGTAAAACACGGATATTTTAAATACTGCCTATTATTTATACTGTTTTCTAATTATTATTCTTTCGGTTTGCGGACAAGCTAGGGGTTTTATAGGAGAGGCGTTGCTGTGGGGGGGGGGGGGGCATATGTCCCCGGATGCCGACCTTAGGGGGCGCCAAAGTGGGTTTGAAAAAATTTGCGAGGGGGGGGTGGAAATCGAAAGTTTTAAGGCGGGGGGGGGGGGAAGGGGTGCAAATCGAAAGTTTGAGGGGGGTGCAAATCACTGGAAAGGGCGCGATTTGTCGCTACGGGCTAGACTGTGAGCAATATGCCTTTATGATTGCATTTAAATTGTGTTTATGTTATGAGTGTTGTGTTTGTTTTTTCGTTTTTTTTTGTTTGTTTTTTTTGCGTTCGTTTATGTTGTGTTTAGTTTTGTTCTGTTCCCAAGTTGGTACATTTAAAAAATATTTACCGTGGCGGAGCACGGGATGCAGCTAGTATTATATATATAAGTAATGTTGGGTATATATATATATATATATATATATATATATATATATATATATATATATATATATATATATATATATATATATATCCAAAAATTATATATATATATATATATATATATATATATATATATATATATATATATATATATATATATATATATATATATATATATATATATATAATACATATATATATATATATATATATACATATATATATATATATATATATATATATATATATATATATATATATATATATATTTTGGAAATATATATATATATATATATATATAATTTTTGGATATATATATATATATATATATATATATATATATATATATATATATATATATATATATATATATAATTTTTGGATATATATATTTTGGAAATATATATATATATATATATATATATATATAATTTTTGGATATATATATATATATATATATATATATATATATATATATATATATATATATATATATATATATAATTTTTGGATATATATATATATATATATATATATATGTATATATATATATATATATATATATATATATATATATATATATATATATATATATATATATATATATATATTAATTTTGGGGCCCGAAAAAAATGCTGCGGGGGGGGGGGGGGGCGTTTTAATCAGTTTTGCCTAGGGCCTAGGAATATACGTTATTTAACTTATAAGGTTAGTTAACTCTGGTTTCTGTAAATAATACTATTTTGTTAACGCATGTGTAGCAATTTTATAACTGTATTTGAATCAAAACGATATTTAAAGTTACTAAATACGGTTACAAAATGTATGCGAGAATTAATAATTTTAAATATAAATCATTGATTCTAAATGAGTTTCGACAGCATAAATTTTATGTATAGTTTCTAATAGAATGGCTATTTTGATATCAGTTATAATAAAATCATTGTATTTAAGAGAATAATTTCGTTTTCAATATCAGTTTTCAACTGTTTTTGTACCACGTCTAAATAAGTAAAAAAAAATAAAAATCCAAGTATTTAATTTTAATAATAACCAGATTTTAAAAGCACTGAATGTTGGATTTAGTATAACCCTATCGCGTGCTCTCAAGAAACAGCTGGAAATCCCCATGATCTTCTTACGGAAATTCTGATGTGCTAGAACAATTATCTGCTGCAACTATGTACAGTTTAAAGTGTGATTTGCCCATTCCCGAAAATGTAATCATATAGTGTACTTGATACGTATGCTGAGAAATAAAATATAATACAAGCTGTCTTGTATTTTAGTGATAGGAAAAGAAAGAATGACCTACCTCTTTAAGAACTGTAATCGTAGCATAACATCTTAATGACCTGTATTGTTAAAACCATATATTTACAAGAGGTATATAAAACATAAAAACGATACAACGTGTGTGTGTGTTAACAGACTGTACTTCGGGTATATTGTATTTATATTGCATTGGAATTGAACTTTATGTGGAAGGAGAATACTTGCCACGGAATGACTAAAACAGCTCATGTACAAAAACTGAAAGTTGGATCTGGTGAAACATTCCCTAAAGGCATGGCCCCGGATAATACAGAGCACGTCCTTCGAGACTGTTCCTTAAATAGCCAGGTGCGACCCAAATTCTGGCCCCTATACACCTCACTTAAGGAAAATCGATATGGGGCAAGAGTGGTTCTGGCTACGACAGTCAAGTTCATTCACGAATTCTGGCTTGTTGTTTAAATACTCCATCATAAACTAAAACGCTGAAGTAGAAGATAAAAGCTCTTGACAAAATGGAAAGTAATGGTTGAGGCACTATGCTCCAGAAGGTGTAAAGATATTTTAATCAAGCAAGTCAAGAATTACGTCATGGGTAATTAATTTTGGTAGCATTCTTTGAATCTAACATCTTTGAATAACATCAACATCCGCCCTTCCATTTCATTGATCGACACATCTAAAGGACATTGAGATATACTTGATCTAGCTAATAGAAAAGGCCAGAATTTTGAATATTCTCTGGATGAGATTTGATACACTCGTTTATACATTTAAACTTTCCTTAAATAGCGTTTTTACAAGCAATCAAATTAATGTATGTATGTATATTATTTGTATTGTTAATAACGTTGTAATATTCGTAGATACGCATATTAATGCCTATTATATGTCTCTTGCTTAAACATGTTTTCAAAAATATGGCTATAGAAATGCGATTTTATGTCTAAACAAATGTTTTTGACGTTAAAAATTGTACTTACTTCTTCAATATTTGGAAATCTGTGCCGTTTATTTCTCTTACGTTGAAGCCAATCATTTGTTTTGCATTATCGTTTAGAAAACCTTTTAATGGATGCAAAAGTGTGTTACGTCAATAACATTAAAGTCAAAAGTATTATTGAGAGCAGCTGTTCTTAACCCAAGTTCTATTGAACCACAATGTGTTGGTGAGACAGTCTCAGAAGTTTAGGGGCGTTAAACTGATTTAGAGTAATTTTTAAAACTATACTATTTTAACAAATAAAATATATACATTTGAAGAACACAAAGACTAAATCATAGATGCCCACTTTTTGAAATTAGTTATTGTCCTTTTTGTTTACCACAAGCTCATATCTAACTTCTATAAAAATAAGAGAGCTAAAACACAGCCCAATACCGCAATATGTCGGATTTTATCAACATGCCACAATGAAAGAACAACTTATGTCCTATATTTACCCGAAAAAAACCAGAGATGTCAATGTTATTTTTGTACCAGCCAATGAGAATCAAGGGAAAACAACACATGTCACCAGCTACCACACGAACTGGGGTAAAGTGATTTGACATAATTTCCAGTTTGAGAACATTCATATTAGAATGTGATTGACACATGTCCAGTGTTAATCAAAAGTTTTCAGCGTAATGGCTAGCCTTCAGCAAACCTCACTACACCAGGGACACAAAGCAACGTCATTAAAACGACAAACAATGTGCTTCTGAAATTCACAGAAAGGAAAAATACACGTTATCATGCACAGACAGAGCTAGAATCAACTGTTCAGCCTTATGCCTGATACTCCCCGACTTTCTAGAGCATCCAATTGAGACAGAAATCTTGCTCAAGCTGTCCGAGTCGCTCCCTTTTCTTACCACCCTAAAGAAGCTTACACAGCTATTCTGCCTAGTCTAAATATTAAAGACATTCATACTAAAACAATGGGTATGTGAACAAAATAAACCACTTATTGAAGACTTGCCAAACAACGACCTGTGCAACCCTGAAGCAGATCAAAGACAGAGCAATAGTCAGAATGTTAAATCAGCGTGAAATTACGGCATGCATTGATGAATTGATTATTTAATACTATAAGTCCTTGGCTATCAGTATTATAATAAACTGTTCTTCAATACAGAATGTGTGATTTTAAAAGCATTAACGTGAATTAAGTAGAATTACAAAAGAAAAACAACACATGTACAAATTGATATGCATTTTTTTAAAATTCATTCTGAACACATTTTTTTCTATCTAGTAATTAAATAAATACACCAAATTATTGATGATTGAACCAATTTTCATAAAAAAACTAATTTCATTTAAAAATGTAACACGAGTGAGGCTACCAGAGTCTGCAAACACTAAATTTCGTTTTTCTCGAAAGTAAAAAGTGTGAAAACTTTGGTTTTGCCCATGTGGTCTTGGTTTGGTTAAACTTTCTCAAGGAATAAGTGTTGAGAAATAGTATGAATGTGAGTGCCCGGGGGTGATTATTTATTTTTTTCATTATTGTTTTCGCGAAGATTAAAAATAAAAATTTTGCTTTTCGTATCGGGTAGACGGCTGCAATTTTTCTACTTATTATTATTGTATAATGATTTTATGTTTTTAGTTTGTTTAGTGCTTAAGTTTTGGTGATATTTTAAGCCTTTTTAAGTGATCAGAGTAATGTTTTATGTTGTATCTTTAGTTATCAATTTTTAAAGGTTATTTCATGTGCATAATGTGTGAAGCGAGTATAATTCGTCTACAAGCTCTGTGGAGTCACTGGAGGTTGCTTGTGGCGCTTGAAAACGTATGTTGAATAATTCTCTTTTTGATACCAGTAGAGTAGAAATTTTCTTTTTTATTATACTTAATACCATGGACTAAGTGTAGCAATGTACGTTACGCAAGTATTACGAATTTAAAAAATTACTGATTTTTGGGAAGTCGCCATCAAGTTTTGTTATGAAAAGCTAGAGGGCTCACATTTTAAACTAATTGTTTACAATTATGATAAAAAAACATTATTTTAATATGATTGAATGTTTAGTGCATTTGTTTGTTATTTTATCTATGTATTGTAAGGTTTTTGTTTAACGTTCTAGTCTAGATTTCTGTGTCTTGTTTTTAAAATATTTGATTAATTAATTAATTAGCATTTCGTTTTTTTATTATTGATTAAAGTTATGAGTGAAACAACTGTGGTTGATGATTGCCAATGTACTGACACACGATAATTTATAGTCCTAGGGCTTACATATAGTTTGCGCTTTATTAATCAATAGGCATATGCCTACAAGTGCTGAAAATCGTGATTCAAATGCAGTACAGCCCTGTTCGATGGACTTTATATCATGTTTGTCTTATATAAAAAAAATAACTTTTATCTAACAAAAACGGTAACTCTACTATAAAATTTATATACGAAAGCTAAGCGTGGCCTAGGACTCTAGTCTTTATATATAAGTAAGTACCTACTGAAATTATCACACATTAAATTATTTGACGGAAGGAAAGGACACGCTGGTAGCAACAATCGGCTGAAAAAATGCTAGTCTACTTGTCCTATAGAATGGCTTCGTTATGTCTCAAAATAAAGTATTTTATAACAATACATTTTTACATTACTGTGATGCTTTTGATTACGAAAATAAAACAAAATAGATATTAAACTAGTATCTTAATAATGCCTAAAAGAACCTGTAACTTCCCTAATAAATAACAATTTTAAATAATGTTTAAAATAATTACTTATTGCGTCTGTATATGTGGTTGAATTATATGCTAAATCCAACAGCAAAACTGTTGCAACGGTCAATGTGTATCCGCCTTTGATTTCCATGTTTTTAATAGCCTAGGGAAAAAAACATGTATATTAGATTGTGCCATGCCATGGTAACATATTGGAACCCATGCAGTATAGGTATTTATATAAAAACATGTTAACTGTATTACACACAGTTATTTTTATAAAAACATAATAATAATAATGTTAAAAAATAACTATGGATACATATTTTGAAACAGAAGATCAAGCGGAATTCAAAGAAATAATGTAGTCAAATGTTTACGCATTTACTTTTACTTCTTTTATATGTTCAAGTACTTATAAGAGCTGTGTGGACGCAATCAAATACATCTAGATAAAAACTGTTTTCCCCAAAATGTTATACAAGCATTTATTTAAAGACATTAAGTAATGTATTGATATATTCATCCACACCTTTAATTATATAAGTTCCGAACAAATACTTCGATTTCACGGAGACCTATAGGGGTTTCACTTGAAACTTACAGGAATTTATAAAAAATTATTAATTAAAAAAGGAAAGAAGTTTCATTATTCATCTATTTTAGTCTTTAAATAGTCTTTACATATTTGATAATAATTATTTTTTTAGCTTTACAGATCATATAATTCGAGAATGCAATGTATTTATCAACAGCTATCGATAATCTAGAATTACGCAATTTATTGTTTGTACTTAAAAAGAAAGTAGAGAAACTATCTAACAACTAGTCAAACATATAATGAAAAATTGAGTTTCTTTACTAAACTATTTCTTGTCTTAATCTATATAGTCTAAAATTGAAGTTGTTTACAAGTTTGTGTATTTGTATGTAACCCTCACTCAGTGGGGATTGCTTTTACCCACTGAGGTGTTGTGGTTAAACGGGCTGACCCTGAGATTTTGGACTAATTGAAGCGACGCTGTTGTCCACTAATTGACTTTATTCAACAGTGCATCGAGCCATGACGGCAATGTAGAACAACAGTAGTAAACGACGATTAGAGATGAATAACGAAATGATGAAATGAAACAAAGTCTGTAGCCCTAAAACAAATGTAAACAAAAGGTTACATCAATGATAATACCAACATGACATGGGACACAGGTAAAATCGCTCACAGAAGAGCACGCAAAACAACTACATCAACAGGGTTACGATCCCACAGGTGCCGCAACCCAATGAATTAAAACTGTATTCTTATCCCCCATTGGCTGGTAACCGTATGTGTTACATTTGTTTGGTGTTTTTGTTTGTCTGTTTTGTTACTTGAGAGCTTGTATAACTCTCAATTACGTATTTATATAGAAAAATAAGGTTATTTTTTTCAACAACTGTTAAACACATATTTCTTTAAAGAAGTTAATTAATTTATTGATATATTACTTGTCAAAACACGCATTTAATCATAAAAATTCAGAACACTTTTTTTTCATCAAAAACATTAAACTTGCACATGCTTAGTGCGTTACTTAATTTTAAGGCCAAATAAAAAATAGGTTTACATAAAAATACAAATTTATATATATAGTGACGTCACTTAAAACGTTAAGTTATTTATCAAAATAAAATACTAAAGCATAAACTTTAAACAACGAAATATAATTTATATAGAAAATATATGCTTATACCAGTGTCGGCCTTCTCCGCTAAATTCAAGTGCCCCATCCCCGGAGAAAAGGCTGAAAGAAACACTGCATGTGTGAGATTTATCTTCTAAAAGTAGAAAACGGTCTATATTAGGTCTATAGTAGGCTTTACTTTTGTCTGTATAGTCTATAAATGCGTCCAGTGTTTCTTTCAGAATTTTTACTTCCCGGAGGGGTGGGAAATATACTTAAAATATTGGGGGGGGGGGGGGCTAGATTAAAATTTCTGGGAGGGGTCGGACTCTAATAAAAGTATACATTTTCTATTTAAGTTGTATTTCGTTGAAAGGGACGTGCCTCGCGGTGGGTAGTTGGGGATGGGGGGGGGGGGGAGTTGGAGCCCCTCAGTCGCCTGAAAAAAAATCTAAATGTGACTTTTGTCATGATTGAGATTAAGTGAATGATTTAGGAGTATTGCTTAGACTATATTTCGTATTAACGTGCGGTAACTAAGTGTAGATTGAGCTCACATCCTATTAAAATACCGATTTTGTATAAAAATCTGTTTTAATGTTTTCGTTTCCGGTTCAATGTATAACGAAGGTGTTGATATTGATTTTGGTTTAGAGAAAAGAGACAACACTATCAACCTAGCGCCCGTTGTAGCGTTCCTCAACGGGCCATTTATCTCGTCTATAATAATAGTTTCGCTGTATTTCTGTGTATGTATCTATCGATGTATCTATCTATGAATATATCTATGTATGTATCTGTCGGGAACGCTTTTATTTATAGAGAAAACAGAAGCAGAGTAAAAACATTCAGAGTAATACGAAAAACGAAACGTGACGTCACATATAGTGGTATATAGTCTAAATCCGGGAAAGAACACACAATAATCTGACGTCATTGATTCTCGAGTAAACATTGAAAGCCAATTTTGTCTAATCTTGAAATTTGGTTTGCGTGCAGAGTTTATTTCATGCATCTCTTCGCGTAGGGGCGAAGCCCAACCCCCCCCCCCCCCTCCTTAAGAACATCAAAGCCGCCCCTCCACCCTCAAAAGAAATGACGTCATCGATACTGTATAATAAAAACACTGGTATTACGGCCTAATTAATGTACCTAATCTTAAAATTGTTTTGCTTGAAGAGTTTCTTTTATGCATCTTTTCGGGTAGGGGTGAATCCCCGCCCCCTGCACCGGAGTATTTTATTGATTGAAGTGCCCCACCCCAGGAAAAACGTCTGAAAGAAACACTGCGTGAATGAGGTTTATCGGCCAAAAGTAATAAACGTCTATATTTTATATAAATAGGCTCTAGTCTTTAGTATACAAATGTGACCTGTGCTTCTTTCACACATTTTTCTCCCCGTGGTGGGAATGTACTTGAAATTTTCGCAGGAGGGTTGGTTTAAATTTTCCGGGTAGGTGTCGGACACTGGTAAAAGTATATATTTTCTATATAAATTATATGTCGTTATAGAACGACAACCCCTCGATCTCCCGAAGAATTACCTGAAAGAAACTCTCAATGCGAATTTTGTCAAAGGTTTCAGGGTATGACCACGACTATAATTAATATGGATATGCAGCAACTGTGTGCCGATTTTTTTTATAAAAAATGTCATTGTTCGTTTCCGGTTAATCTGGAAGTTGAGGTGGTGATTTTGATTTTGGCTTTGGGTTAGATAAAAAGACAACAATATGAACCTAGCGCACGTTGTATCTCTTTCTCAACGGGCCATTTATCTCGTTTTTTAATAATTTTTACACTATTCTGTCACTCTCACTCTATCGCTTGGGTACACTATATTGAAAACACAAGCAAAATAAAAACGTTCACAGTCAAATGGAAAACTATACGCGACGTCACATGAAAATGTAGGAGCTATTCTTAAGCTGGAAAAGTAAACACAATAATATGGCATCATTGATTCTTGAGTATAGAATTAAAAAGCCATTGCTAAAAAAAACACAATAATAATGACATCATCAATACTTGATAATAAAGACACTAAAATTACCATCTCATTTATTTCTCTAACCTTAACCCATATGATCCTAAGGTCTCAAATTTTTATAATTTTTTGATATGGTTTAGCTTTTGGGCACTGAATGAAGTAATGACTATGGATTTTTTTTAAAAATCAATACTTTTATTAAAATATCGATTTTTTTAAAAAAACGTCCCATAAATGGGACGCTAGCAACGAACGGCCACATGTAAATTTATTGGAAAAAAAATCACTTATCACGAAATATGGCTAATCACGCAAAAAATAAGCTGTATACCGATTTTGTATTGTTAGACCAATGATTACATTGTTTCGGACAGCTAAAAATACTGATAATGATCAATTGAGTTAGCCATACCATGGTCTAAAATGCAGAAATTAGGTTCAAAAGTCTAGTTTTCTTTCAATCTAGCATCCATCAAAATGAACAACACTTGGAAGTAAGTAAAGCTGTGGCTAGTACATCTAATCATACACACATGATCACAAATATTGATATTATTCATCGAAACTGTAATATAATTAAATATAAATAATTGATTTTTTGGGGGGCGTACTTGAAATTTTCAGGAGTGGGGAATTAAATTTCAGGGGAAGGGTGGACATTGGTAAAAGTATGTTTTGTATATAAATTCCATTTTGTTCTGGGGCAGAGCCTCTCCCCTCCTCCGAAATTATGCCTGAAAGAAACTCTGCCATCAGTGATTTTGCAAAAAATGATCCGGTTCAGTCCCAGATGTCATCCAGCCATCTTCTCTTTTGTTACCCTCGCTATCCCCCCCCCCCTCACAGGCATACATTAGGACATCAGACATCTTATTTTTAGGGCCCGGATCCGTCTATGGGGGCTTGTATTGAGTGTTCATGGCTCTCATCCATGTATGCACCTCACTATGCGAACAGCTCCCAATCTAACACCAGGAATATCCATAAAAAAGTTAACAAAGTAAAACTGGTATTGGGAACCTTTGGAAGGGAATATTATTGGGGCATGACAACTGTACACAGCTAATTTACATTTCTGCTATATGTAGCCTTAGCCCTCTTATATGAAGAGAGTTAACCAACCCCCATGACTGAATCAGTTCACCTAAATCGTGGCCATTGTTATAATTCTGGTTTGTTATAATTTTAATATTACGCTAGTAAATTTACAGCAATACTATATTAGTTTGTATTCAATGGTATTAAATACTTCAGTAAGTGTAATTCTGAAAACTTAAAAATAAAATTTAAGTTTTATAATATTTTCAATTTTTTAATAAAATAATATATAAGAAAATCTAGCTCAAGGTCACAATTAAATATCTATAAATACTACTTAACACCACAAAGTCAACAGTTAACAAAGTCAACAATTGTTTCACCATAAATAACCGTTTAACATAAACATTTGCCTCTGTGTTTCTCGCTACTGCCCAATAAATGTGACGTTTGTGTAACAATCTTATTACGAAACACCACTCTATCAGCCAGATAGCTGGCGAACGTACCCGGGTTCTTTTAGATGGTTATACACAGATGGCTTAAAACCCTATAAATGGTAGCTAGCACAACAGTTAACGAGGACACGTACTTAGCGTCTAGGGGATACACTCGATGAACTCCTGATACCAACAACACATTTAATCCATATATAACATTTAATATGTGTACAAATTCAAGATAAGACCCTAGCTTTATACAGAATAAAATGAATGAGTAGAAAATCAAAAACCCAACTTACAATTTGAGGAAAAAAACACTATTTTACACTATCACAGGATATGGCACTCAAGAAAATCACCACAACTTATACGACACTACTTAATGCACAAAATATTACTTAAAACCACAAGTAATAAAGGAAAAATGCTGCTTAAAACTATAGGCTACAAAATAGCGACAATCAAGGCTTTCTCTCTCAAAAGATGTCTGGTCTTACTGCTGCTGTGGACTGCTGCGATGGACTGCCTGCAGCAAAGTGTGTGCAGACCATTTGACACCTGGGGCAACATGGGAGGTCACCTTCAAAACATGAGACTATTGGTTGGGACATCTCTGATGTCCGAATCAACCAATCGAAAGTATAAAAGTATTGCACCACCACTCGTGATGGAAAAGTACTGGGGTATATGTCTTTCTTAGAACTATGGAAAATTTCCTGTAGTTGCACCACATCACTCATGGTTGAGCAATAAAAGTCAAACTAAAAAAATACAAGACCTAAGTAGGTCACAATCTACATTGGGCCTTTCGTTGCTAGCGTCCCACTAATGGGACGCTTGTTGTACACTTGATATATTAAAAAACTATTGTTATTCTTACATTTTTATCAGACAGAAATATGGTACTGCTACAAGTTTGAAATGAATTTTGCACTTAAAATGTTAATATTTTAGAAGATATGCATTTTCCTGTGCGCATGTTTTCTTTTTTTGACAAGTCCTGCAAATCCGGCACTATAACATTTTTCCAAATTAATTTTTTTCACAAAACACACACAAATTCAATAGTCTAGCCATTTTCAAATACAATGAAATAATTTGTGTTTTATCTAGCTTTTAATAAATTTTAGCAATTTTTTTTACAAGCGTCCCATAAGTGAGACGCTAGCAGAATATGGGTTAAAAAGGGTTTGCGTGCAGAGTTTCTTTCAGGCATCTCTGTGGGTAGGGGGGGGGGGCGAGCCCCTCCCCCCCCTATTGAACGAAATACAATTTATATACAAAATATATACTAACAGTGTAAGCCCCCCCCCCACCCGGAGATAAGGTCTAAAAGAAACACTATCTTCTTGCTTGAGGTTCAGCGGGGAAAACTAGGAAACGTGTCTATATTATAATAGTAGGGTATACCCTTAGTGTGTGTGAACAAATGTGATTAATGTTTCTTTCAGACTTTCCACTCTCCCCCTCCCCCTTAGGGGTGTTTGAAATTTTCGTAATTGGTGGTAGACTAAATTTTCTGGGTCGGACACTTGTAAAAGGTTATATTTTCTATATACATTATATTTAGTTGAAGGGAACTGTTGATATACTTCGGATGTGGGTCGCGTGGGCTCTATTGCCTTCCTCCGTAGCGTTTTACAAGTTTTGGCGCAATCGTTTACGCTTTATTTAGTAATAGAATTGGGTAAACTAGGATATAAATCAAAATAATATTCACGGAATTTTTAATTCCGCTTGCCAAATTTAAAATAACTATTTATTTTCACTTTTAACGTATGTATGTAGCTGTGGTGGTGTAATAGTATTCATGTAGGTGGTAAGGGTTATTTCAATGTTAATTTTTTATCGGTTTTAATTTTCGCTCATAGAAAAAAAGTATTGTGTGAAATTACAACATAATCGATTTAATCTAATACATTATTATTCTGATGAAGTTAACTTTAATCATTTATTTAATTACTATTCATGAGATTAGAGGTCAGAAAATATTATAGAAAGAAATCGATGTTTTTTTAAGTCAAAAACATGTAAGTTGAGGTGTGACTTCTTTTATTAGTGAATGATAAAGTAGCCTTTTTTCGACAGGTAAAGTAGAGTTCACAAGTTTTTGTAACTCAGCATATGAACGGATAGTTCGGTCAAACACATCCTAAAATTGGTGTTTTAAAAAGACAAATCCATGTTGTCTGAGATATGACGCGCTTTTTAAATTGTGGGCTCTTGCTTTTAATAACGATGTGTGATATTAAGTAAGGTAAGAGGAAATAGAAATATTGTCAATCAAACGGGACGTCATTTATGGATGACTCCTACAAACCGCAGTTATTCAAGGATAACAGGTAGTCTAGACTTCTTTTTAGTTGTAAATGATAACGTTTCTTTTCGGAACTTAGCGGTACACGGGCTAAGTGAAGTAGAGTTCACATATTTCTTTAACTTCCGCATACGTAGGGATAGTGTGGTCAGAGCCAAGCTTAATCGAAATCTGTGTTTTTAAACACAAACAAATGTTGGCTTAGGTGTGGCGTCTTTTTAGATTTTTTTTTCTTTTTGTGACCATGCGTTACAGTGGAGCGATTGTAAAATTGTCAAACAAGCGTGGTGCCTTATATGTTTTACAGTAAACTGACAAGTAATTAAAGTATTAAAATTATTAATTATTTTCACACACATGTTACCGTTGTAATACAATTACTTACTTTGAATGTATTATTTAATGTGAAATATCCTATCACTTCCTTCCTTCTGGCAATGTTGTGTAAAATAGAAAAAACTTGAATTATGATCCAATTAGACTGGGATTTCTGCAATTTTAAATAGTTATTCATTATGTTGCTAATATTTTGCACGGTGTTTGATGTACATCTACGTTCAATGGTCATCTTCGTCTGGTTAATATGAGTATTATAATTGGGAATAAATATTAAGCTGCGTATCTCTAAAAAAGATAGTCTTTTACGACATCATTTTATGTTGTACATTTTTTTCTAACACTATGCTAAGGTTTTCCATAATCAGAACCCTAATATATGTAGGCTGTACATAAGATATATACATATATATATATATATATATATATATATATATATATATATATATATATATATATATATATATATATATATATATATATATATATATATATATATATATATATATATATATATATATATATATATATATATATATGTATATGTATATAAACGTATATAGAATACATTAAAAATTCGGCGCCTTTTTTTGCTTTTTTCGCTCCCTCTACACTGGATATGTCTCACGAACGAACCATGAGTGGAGACGTCTTTTAACGGTGTGATTAGCATTTCCATTCCTCAGTTATATTAGCATCTTACATTTTAAGGTCGATGTTCAGACAATGAAATACGACAATCTTCAGTAACCCCTTCGACTCCCCAAAAATAGTAATCATTGAAGTGCATATACGATAAGCTCACACTTATTTGTTATACTGTAGTTTTATTACTGATAACTTTAAAATACATTCTATTTAAATGTCAACAGTTTGGTGACTAATGCGAATAACAAAATATGTTATTTAATTTGGATGTATGATACTATTTAACACAGCACGTTTCCTTTGAGTTGGCATTAATAGAAATAGGTATGCACTAAAAAAAATTCAATACGATATTACATAAGGCTGGCGATTTATTTTATATACAAATTAAACACTCTGTTATAATATAGCTAGGATATAAAAAAAAAACTTCCTCTAACTAGATTTCTCACTTTGCTAAACTAGGAGAGGATGATAAAGAATGATTAATATTAGATATATGAATTTGTATCAGAAGAAAATTAGAACCATTCTCTAGTGTAGTTTGCACAAGTAGTATACATACAGCTTAGAGACGTGTATTGGTTGTATGAAACTTAACGGGGCTAACTTGAACGATGCATGAAGTATGCAAAACAATAAGGATAAATCATTACACATGAAGTGTGCATACATTTACTTTACCTGTTCGTGTTTGTGAGTGATGAGGAAATCTGTACATATCTTTATAACGTCCAACTCAGCTAGACGCTACAAAGAAAAATTTATTTCATAGAATGTGATTATTTTATTTTAAAATTATAGATCTAAATAAGTTCTAAAATATTAATATGTTTGTAACATTAATATGACCTGTTTCTTTTATTTTTAAAGCTTTAATAATTTTAACTAGACCAATAAAAAACACGGTCGTGCAATATTTACCAAAGCAAACTCTGTACTATGATGACTACCGCTTATCAACAGACTCAACATATCACGAATTAAAGACAAACTAAAGCCTGGTGCTGTTGTATCAAGAAGATTTTCATCTTTTAAACATCTAGCCGTAATATCTGTAACGATAACATGTCAATTTGCATCATCATATTTTCCCATCAGTGCAGGAAACATATAAGGCATATATAGTTCATCTATGTGAACGTGTTTTGGGAAAAGATAATGTTGTCGTCTTCACTATACCAAGCCGATTTTTTCTTTCCGTAATGAGAGTAGACTCTGAAACATCCAAGACACTCGAGCCCAGGTTCTAAATAAATAACTTCCGGAAAATAGTTTAAAATTTAGCTAAAAGTTAAGCCTACAATCAGGCAGACAGACAGACAGACAGACAGACAGACAGACAGACAGACAGACAGACAGACAGACAGACAGACAGACAGACAGACAGACAGACAGACCAGACAGACAGACAGACAGACAGACAGACAGACAGACAGACAGACAGACAGACAGACAGACAGACAGACAGACAGACAGACAGACAGACAGACAGACAGACAGACAGACAGACAGACAGACAGACAGACAGACAGACAGACAGACAGACAGACAGACAGACAGACAGACAGACAGACAGACAGACAGACAGACAGACAGACAGACAGACAGACAGACAGACAGACAGACAGACAGACAGACAGACAGACAGACAGACAGACAGACAGACAGACAGACCAGACAGACAGACAGACAGACAGACAGACAGACAGACAGACAGACAGACAGACAGACAGACAGACAGACAGACAGACAGACAGACAGACAGACAGACAGACAGACAGACAGACAGACAGACAGACAGACAGACAGACAGACAGACAGACAGACAGACAGACAGACAGACAGACAGACAGACAGACAGACAGACAGACAGACAGACAGACAGACAGACAGACAGACAGACAGACAGACAGACAGACAGACAGACAGACAGACAGACAGACAGACAGAGACAGACAGACAGACAGACAGACAGACAGACAGACAGACAGACAGACAGACAGACAGACAGACAGACAGACAGACAGACAGACGGGCGGACGGACGGACGGACGGGCAGATAGACGGACAGACTGACAGATGGTCAGGAGGGCAGGCGGGCAGGCGTTCAGGCAGAAAGACAGGAAGAGAGAAAAGAAACAAAGGCTAAAGGACGATAAGACAGAAAGTCAGAAATACAGACACATAGACACACACAAACACACTCAACAAATATAGGCCTACTTGCAAAGAAAGAAAGTATGTTTCCCACGTCTCCAAGTTTTTTTTGTAGCTCTTTAATAAAAACGGCAAAAGTAAAACGAAATTACCCGTATAGTTATGATCTAACAGTAAGGTGAAAAATCTCAATTTATCTTCAGCATTTAGAGCAGAATAGATGGTCTTCAAACACCTCTGACACATGAAGAAATGTAAAGCGTCAAAATTTCTCATGTTAGAAAACTCTAACATAACATCAGCAACAAAGTCATGAAGAATATCATAGCTTGGTTTCTGGAAGTAAAAAAAAAAAAACAAATAGTGGGACTGAACATATTTTGCTTTAAAACACTATTAGTACCTCGTTAAGGACAATTATCCTCCCAACCCCTCCTCCGTGAAAAGCAGCCTCCTCCTTGTTACCTCCCCATATTTTCAAATAGTTTAAAAACTTAATTATATGCCCCTAATATTCGTCATTAATTCGACCCGGCTCTACGACTGTAACCATATGGCGTGAACCACAGCTCACCAGACTTGTGGGGGTGGGTAGGTAGCGATATCCCTCATGCACTTATGCCATGTGTAATGTTTTTTTTATAATAAAATTTGTTGATAACACAACGATTGAACATAATTAACATGAAGTAGGTGGACATAAGAATCTTATATATGGTACACTTGGACGTGAAGAAGGGACTATACCAATCAGCAAGACTGTATACATTGGAAATAATTATAAACAATAATCAAACTAACATGAGACACAATAAAAACTCATTGGCTCAAAGATGATGACGGGCGGCTTTTTTGGCGGTAATTCAGCATAAAGAACGAAGAACGGCATGCGCCTTCTGCATGAAATATACTTAATTAATACCCTAACATGGGCAGACACGATTCATGAACGGTAATTTAATAAACAAATAAAGAATGATGCTTATAATAGAACCTTGAGGAGAAAGTATATCAGATGCTCAAAGACAAAACTACAAAATGTTTAGAGATGATTGGACGTGACAATTAACAATTGGAGGAAACGATCTAGATAACATGCTCGTCCAAAAATTATCGGTCTACATAACTATGATCCTTAAACACCAAGGGCATTTGCGAAATAATTCCGAAAATCTCCCACGATACATACAGAATTCAAGATAATAAGTATAAAATCAAGGATTAATTTCAAAGACTAAGATATAGTAATAATTTGAGTAGGCCTATTCAGTTAGTTTATAAACTAAATATGTAGACACAAAGTTAGAAAACTTCTACAGAAGAAGAAAGACGCAATGCAGATACATGAGAGAATAATATTGGTGAAAGAAAATCCTACAGCTAAAATACAAAGATAGGGACGGAATAGCCTAGCGGTAAGTCTCGAGTTAGAATCCGGGTTCAAGCAGAGGCGTAGCCACCCTTACCGTTGACCAGAGACAAACTTCCAATTTGCGCACCCCCCCCCCCCTCAAACTTTCCATTTGCACCCGCCTCTCAAACTTTCCATTTGCACCGCCACCCTCAAACTTTCCATGTGCACCCCCCCCCCCCCCCCGATATATTTTTTATATTTATAGTGCAGCTAAATTTAGATTTTAATTTGTTTTTCCAACCCATTTTGGCGCCATCTAAGGTTAGCGCCCGGGGACTTATGCAACCCCCCTCCCCTTCTTAGCTACGCCTCTGGGTCCAAGTAAGTAGACCATCCCTGAGTCCACCCAGCTCTGATGGGTACCTAATTCACGTTAGGATAAGTAAATGTGACTGGGCATAGTCCTCACCACACTATCTCTTCATATGCCGAGGTCACAGAAACCATCAAACTCTACTTCACTTGCCCTTTAGACCGTCAGGTTTGAAAGGAGAACTTTACTTACAATAAAAAGTAAGACATGCTAAACGTAACCAATGGCATTATTACAGTATGAAAGCTAGTTGGCAAACAAGTTATCACACACATCAGGGTCGATTTAAATATGAAGGTACATCTAGTTACAAATTGGTTGATTGGTATGTTTACATTCAATATCAATCAGTTAAATTGTACTACAGTCGAGAGTGAATTGAAATTAATTATTTTATATTTTACATATATTCCTCTGTTACACATAATGCTATTGCATCTTGATATTTTTTTTCGCACACTGACACATTTAAATCATCAGGTTAAAATAATTGTTGATTTTGTTTTAGGGTCTGTATAGTAACATGCTGCTTTTAATGTGTGCCACTGTATAATGAAATTACGGAGCATTTCTTAAACATTATTTGGTCCAAATATATTTTCATTAAACATTTGTTTTTAACACATTAGAAAACTATTATGTGATATGATTTTTTTCTACATTATAAACTTGTATGACTAGAAATGTTTAGTCCTATTGTTTTTATTTTCACTTTAAGCTGAGACGTACTTTTTTTAATGTGTGGCGTATGGTACCGCCATATTGAAAAATTAGTTAAACGGCATATTTTATATGAAGGGAGGACGTGTAACAGACTGTACTTCGGGTGTATTGTACTTATATTGCATTAGGAATTAACTGTATATGGAAGGAGAATACTTGGCCAACTAAAAGACAGCGTGAGTTAATCATGTTTTTCCATGCTTTTGGTTGATCTCGCTCATTGACATGGGGGGGGGGGGGGGAGGGAATAACGCGATGTATGATTGGAGGGAATTGTAAAGGTGATCAGTGTGTCTCAATAGAAGAATGAAAGCTACGTCAGTTCGTTTGTGGATTACCTATTTGTTTTGTTGGCGTCCTGTGTTATTCAAGTAATTCGATGTACTGAACTGTTCCAACTATATTTGTTGTATATAAAATTATAAGTTCAACTAGAAATATCTGCTGTTACGTTTCTACAACAAACCCACACACAGGGTGTGTCATTATTTAAATAATAAGAATTCCTGCACTACTTCCCTTTCACTTTGAACAACACCCGAGAACGTCACTGTTAATTGCTCCAAATGTATCCAACAGTCGTCTAATGCAAAATGTTTTGGGTCTGAGCAATACAACTTGGACGACACATCTTTAAAATGTTGAAACCATGCGTTTGCAGAGTCCAGCGACACAAAACACGTTTGAACATCGAACTTTTTCCTAGAGTCAGATATATCCGTATCTATCCTCTACACATTCTTCATTGAATATTCCTGTTTATATACTCTCTGTTGCTTATACTGCGTACTAATATCACTTTTCTCAGCCAGCCCAGAAACTTCGTTGTCAATCTGCTTAAATTCTGATATAAATTCATTTCTTTAGCTTCTCATTTCATTTTAAAAATCTGAATTAATCGAAAAGCTGTTGTTAACACATCAATGCTACTATTCTGTAAATAAATGGATACGTTAAAAGCCTTATGCATAATTCATTCTTTTCTGGAATATTAACACAACTAAAAACTCAAATGTCTCCATTGACACGAGCAGTATTTTCCCTTTGGCAATCTGTTAAAAAGTAGAGTTTTAACTTCACTTTCAACTCTTCTTCGCAATGTAAGAATTATTGCTAGTAAATTTTTCAGCTTAGAATCTACTGTTCTCTATCTAGAAGCCCATCTTGTATCACTAAGTCGTTTCAATGTTAATGAAAATGTTTTATGCTGTTGCAATACTCCCCTATCAAGAACGAAAGACGAGGAAGACTTTCGATACAAATACAGTATTTTTGAGAATTACATTTAAATTAAAAGCACAAAAGTGTGTAAACTCGTTTATGCAGGCCTGATAGCTCACCAGACATGGTGTTAGCCCCATAGAAGGACTGACCACAGAACATGGTCATTGATAGACCTAAATCTGTAACTGCTGGAAGAAGCGTTTTGAAATTATGTGAGCTTCAGTAAGCTTACAAAATTGAATAAATGTTTTGATGGCGTCTTCATGTTCAGTAACATATCGGACAGAAAAAAGAAAATGTATCCATTCTGCAAATGTCGATAGTCAAATCTACAATCACAGCGAAATACCTAGCTATTTTAATTTATTTTTTTAAAAATTAGGTTAATATTGTTTTAATTAAGTTATTTTGCTTACACGGACTTAAGTATGTTGCATTTCTGACACCGAAAATGAAATGTGTTTTAGCAAATAAACTTTCTTAGGAGTTTAATAAGTTTCAAACAGTTGACTTCATTAATGTAGCCTCTCCTAAACGTTAGGATTCACGATGGCTGAACGCCAATCCCCGTTTTTCCAAATAAAGAACTGAATCTATAATACTTCCTAGTACTACCCAGTGTCGTATTACTTCGTATGTGTTTTTTTCTTGTACCAACTGGCATTAAAGTGTCGACCAGTTACATTTTTGGGAAAATCTTTATAACTATTTTTGAGGCCTGGCTGACAAGGACCAAACTCAAGTAATGCACGAACTAGATCCGGTGTTACGGGTGTTTCACAAAACAAAAAAAGATCTTTCGGATATTCCAGATTTGTTTCCATTATCTTCTTCTAAATGGGAGTCTTCTAAAATGTCTATAGAAAATACCTTATTATAGAGTCTCGACGAATTTGATTCTGCATATGAGCTGATGTGGTTGCTTGTAAATTTTGTATTTGGGTGTCTTCAAACAAATCAACCACAGGTTGTATTGTTGATGATGTTAAAGTCGTGCAGCTTAAAAAAATATGTATCCAGTTTGGTACATTTGGATGATGTTTGTTGGCGATGTGAAATGTCTCTCAATTTCTTTCTCTCCCACCCTGAATATTTCTACTTTACTGGGTTTTTTTTCATTTTAACCTCTTAACTAACGAATGCTAAGTGCCACTGTTGTCTTAGTTGCAATATATTTGCTTTAATACGCCAAATAATTTTAATAGAGCCCTTAGTTTTTGATAATTACTAACCATTCGAAATAAATTTAATCAATACAACAGCTGAGCAGATAATTAACTGTGCAATCAGTGTTAGTTAAAGTAGAGTTGTTTTTGTTTAATACAAAATATAGCCTTAATAAAATGTAATATAGATCTAGATATAGTAATGTAAAAAACATAATTAATATAAAATTTGACAAGACTGCATGTTCGATATCCCTTTACGTTATAGGTGTGCTAGCCTGGTCAACTGGTGCCCTCTATTAGGCGGAGAGTGGAAAGGTATGACCATAGATTCAGCTCACCCGCCGAAACGTTAAAAGCACCGACCGAAAAAGTCGACTTCCCGGCACTTTCGGGTTTGTACGTGAAGGCAACAATGTGTGCCTAACCTTTTAAAGGTCCTAACCCCCCCCCCCCCTCCTCCAACGGTCAATCTGGGTACCAGGTGGTAGGACGCGGTGTCTCGCGCCTATTGGGTAGGGAAGACAAGCCTGGTGAGAACCTACGGATGAAACCTACATGTTGTGTTCAAACCAATATCTTAGTGAGACTGTTTCCACAAATGCCAGTTAGTCTGAGTTTACCACGTCGAGGCCTGCCTGGCTTATAGGAGGTCAAGTCATGAGTCGGTATTTCTGTTTTTACGAAAGTCACGAACATTATACGTAAACAATATTAACACTTAATATGTGTTTATGTATTATTAAAAAAATTAAAACGTCCTACCTCATTGTTGTGAGAAAGAAGAACAATCTTTACATAGCAATCGATGGATCTGTTTTTATACAAATTATATATATATATATATAATGTATGTTTAATATTTGTTTTTTTATGTATTTTTTTTCAAAAATCGACATACTGAGAAGTAAAAGTTTCAAGAAAATAAAAACACAATACATTGACATGCTTCGTTAACAATGGTGTGGGAAATTGCATAAATGGTCAAAATATATAAATCTAACAAATTATTCTAAAGCCTTCATATTTAGAATAGTACGATCATGATCCTTAATGTAATATCGATCTTCATCCTCATGATCGAGTAATATCCTACTTTAACTGATTAGAAGGCGTATGGGTAAAATAGAGGGTAATTGTTACCGGGGTAATGTTCTGCGCAATACGTTAGATTGTCATAATGGGAATCAACTGGGTGATCACGGGGTATTGAGAAGTGTTGCTTTTATTGACAAAGTTCACAGCACAGTAGGCCTATGAGTTTACTTGTCTAAATTCTTCTATGTGAGAAGTTATACATTGAATTAAGTCTCGCGGTCAGTATTAGAATATTTGTAGGCCTATTGACGTATGTAATTTTTGTTAGTTATAATGTATCACTTCTTTGTTGCAAATGTCTAGACATGTTTCTGTAAGCTACACAAATTACTCACCTTTTAAAGTTGCGGACATCTGCGTTGTTTTGTGCACTGACGGTTGAGTCGCTCAGTTGGTTTTTGGTGTCGTTTTGTACATCTTGATTTAGTGCTGTGTATTTAATAAACATAAGATATTTATAAATTTACTAATCCCAAGGGTACATATACGTTTTAATTAATTATTTATATTTAAAATTTAATGTCTGAATAAGTGTTACGTGTATGTTAGTTTTTGTTAAGAGTTATGGTTAATTGGAACTGATGCTAAATTAAACAACATTGATAAACGTATAACAACATTGATAGGGATAGCGTTAGGTTTGAGATAGGGATGTAGTCACAGGTTAACATTAAGGTTTAATATTAGCAATAGGTAATTGGCAGTTTTAAGGAAATAGAGTAAACGATGCTTCTAGAGGTGGGGTAAAGGATATTTAACGATAGCTGTTTGGGAAAATGTTTGTTTTGTAAGTAGGTTATTGTAAAAACTGTATATAGGGATTTAATATCTGTCTTTGGCAAGACAAAATTACACGTTTTCACACTTAATATACTGTACAGATTCTAATTTAATTTAATATCGGGTTTAAAGTTTAGTGATTATTGGAGTTCCAAGATTATATTCTATCCTGTTTGTTTTTATGCAATGCGAATCAGAAACAAATACAACATATAGTATGATGCACATAGCGAACGACAATGGGTCATCGTGTTCAAATAAATTAGTTTAATGTACATGTCTAGAAGTACTGTTCGAGTAATTTAGAAATGAAACAAAAAACTACACATGATGTTTGCCTACTTTGATGATTTATGTATTCAGATCAGTGTTTAGGTATTTTTTTCCAATTTTACAACCTTGCTTTTTTTGTTAGTCGGGTTTTGTCTTATGCATAATAACGGTAGAGGGCTATTTAGCATGGGGGTCAAGATCAAATGGCAATGCAAAATAACATCAAATTTAACTTAGATGTTTAATTAGTTGTTTAAGAATTAATTAAAATGTCCCATATATAGCTGTTTTTTCCGCACTATTATATGTGCGTTTTTGTGTTCATGGTGCGCAATAGTTTTTAGCCATGTAACTGTATTGAAATTAAACATTTTAAAGTACTTAGGGGAAAAAAACGTTTTATTAACACGTTTTTAAAATTCATGCACTAAAAAGGATTAAAAAATTGCTTTTTCTTTAATTAAATAATAATACACTAGTGTGGGTCACTATATTATCTAATGAATAGCTTTAGTAAAATTTCTTTAAGGGTATTAAAATAGAAGTTAATTATTATAAATTTAATGGCATAATTTACTTTCTTCTTTTTTTAGTGTATAGTTATATAAAAGATTGCTGTTAAAACGCTTTTAATGCTCTTCTTTCCTTTCAGTTTTTACTAAATTTACCCTATTTATTTTGATGTTTTCGTAAATACATAGTTTCATTTATAACTAAGTAGAGTAAACGAAAACATGTAGAAAATTAGCGTCCCGTATAACAGATCACAATGTACTATCTAGGCAGACCCATAAAGCATTACCTATACTTCCAAATTGATGTACAGAATGACCAAGGAGAGCAGATATTTGATCTAGACAATCCAGTAACCCAAAAATATAGTCATATGGACCGAACTGGATTAAATGGAATTGAGGTTATAACCAAACACAATTTGTAATTAAGACTAAAAATGACTATTATAGTTCGTTCAAATTGAGAGATTGAGTGGCGTTTGACTAAACGACGAAAGAAAATGAGAGCAAAACAGACCTTTGCTTTGAATGAAAAATGTATGCTACTGATATATATATTTGACAACTTGGAATTAGAAGACTAACGACGTGTCTGAATGGATTTAGTAGAGAAAACATGCAAAAGCATGTTAAAAATTAAAAACTTTCTATCCATAAGCTTTTAAATGCACTGAAAAGAAGAATATAAATAAATTTAATCCGCTAAAATATGTAAAATATCTCATGGGCGTTCAATGCTTTTATGAAAGAAATCAGATTATTTTTAATTTTCTTTTTTTTCAGAGTATTAAAACGTTTTTTAAATAGTTGTTTTATTTTCTTCTTTTCATATTTTATGAAGTCGACACGACTAAAAATGTTTGCTATAAAATGTTGTAAGTAACTCGCGATCTATGAAAGATCGTGCGGCGTAACCGCCTGATTTAACTTAGTAAACGACTATAGTACCTAACTTATTTATAGTCTTTTGAACTCTTATACGCGAACGTAGGTACCATAGCGTACACGGGAAGGCCCGGGGCGCCAAATAGCACCCTGTCGGGGTGCCGGAGGACGCCCGGATTTGATTCACTTAAAGACTATAGTTACCTTTCTTATCCATAGTCTATCGTACTGTTTAAAACAAAATTATGCAGCATAGCACTCACGTGATAGCCCAGGGCGCCAAATCGAACCGTGCAGGGGCGCCGGCGGACGCGCCTATTTCAATTTAGTGAACAAAATTATAATACTCCAAGCTTATCCGTAAATGGAAAGAAATAAACATATAGGATTTGTAGGACCTGGCTTATTAAATGTTATTGATTTAAAAAAAATAATAAGTAAACAGTATGTTCAGTGTATAGAATAAATAAAAGGCAGTATTAAAAATACCATCGACCTTGCACTTAATCAATCCCCGCTCATTATGTTATTTTTTTTTTCTTAACACCTAAACAAAGTACTAAAAAGTAAATTCTTTCTTCCCCCGATTTAATGGGTTTTTACAGGGAAGTAACTGTGTTTTCCAAATCAAGGGACGTTATGGGAACTAAAGGACATTTCAGACACAATTTTTAGAACTTTTATAAACGTTGATACACTTTTTAAAAATTTTACGTAATGTTCATAATTGAAAATTATTATTCTACGTATATAAAATGAAAAATGTGTTTAAAGACGTTCAATAGTAATTTTTACCTCATAATTTTAGACCTTGAGCACTTTAATAATCCAACACTTAAATCCATCGAAGTATCCACGACAAACTATTTACAAACATTTTACAAATATTTTACATACAGAATAAACCTTTATATATTAGATTTATATATAATTGATGCATTATAAATACCTTTTTTGAATAATAATACAAAATAATAAAACAACGATGTTGATGTCGTTTTATCGAAAAATGTAAAGTTCATTGAAGATAACGAATCAATAACATTTTTGTGCTTATTTTCAAATGCAAAAAAACACACATCAATTAACTGCACAGTGTAGAGATGTAACATATTGTCTCTTTTAAACAACAGAGACCTTGTTATGCTTAAAGTATTGAGGTAATCTTTAGTATCATTTATCCCATCAGCAGAAAATAATGTGTCTTGAACATTTTCATTTACATGGTTTATGTCTGATACAAATGTAGTTATATCATCTACCATCTTGTCGTGTCCATTTTGTGATGCAATCATTAAGGCCTTCCATCCATTATCTTCCACATGATTTATGTCTACTCCTGCTTTAATAAGAATATCTACCACCTTGTTGTGTCCATTTTGTGATGCAATCATTACGGCATTATATCCATTTTGGTTTACATGGTTTATGTCAGCTCCTACTTTAATAAGATTATCTACCACCTTGTCGTGTCCATTCTCAGATGCAATCATTAAGGCATTATATCAATCTTGTTCTACATAGTTTATGTCTGCTCCTGCTTTAATAAGAACATCTACCACCTTGTTGTGTCCATTGTGAGATGCAATCATTAAGACATTCAATCCATCTTGTCTTTTATAGTTTAGGTCTGCTCCTGCTTTAATAAGCATATTTACCACCTTGTCGCGTCTACGTACAGTAGCAAACATTAAGGCATTAGTTCCATCATCATTCACATGATTGATGTCTGCTCCTGCTTTAATAAGCATATCTACCACCTTGTCATGTCCATTCTGTAATGCAATCAGTAAGGCATTATATCCATCTTGTTTTACATAGTTTTTGTCTGCTCCTGCTTTAATAAGAATATCTACCACCTTGTCTTGTCCTTTTTGAGATGCAATCATTAAGGCGTTCCTTCCATTTTGTTTTACATTGTTTATGTCTGCTCCTGCTTTAATTAGCATATCTACTACCTTGTCTTGTCCATTTAAAGATGCAATCATTAAGGCATTCAATCCACTTTTTTCCACATGATTGATGTCTGCTCCTGCTTTAATAAGCATATCTACCACCTTGTCGTGTCCATTATGAGATGCAATCATTAAGGCATTAGATCCATCTTGTTTTAAATAGTTTGTGTCTGCTCTTGCTTTAATAAGAATATCTACAACCTTGTCGTGTCCTTTTTTAGATGCAATCAGTAAGACATTATATCCATTTGATTTCACATAGTTAATGACTGCTCCTGCTTTAATAAGAATATCTACCACCTTGTCATGTCCATTTTCAGATGCAATCATTAAGGCATTAGATCCATCTTGTTTTACATAGTTTATGTCTGCTCCTGCTTTAATAAGAATATCTACCACCTTGCCATGTCCTTTTTGAGATGCGATCATTAAGGCATTCCATCCATTTCGTCTTACATAGTTTATGTCTGCTCCTGCTTTAATAATAATATCTACCACCTTTTCATGTCCATTTTCAGATGCAATCATTAAAACATTACATCCATTTTGTCTTACACAGTTTATGTCTGCTCCTGCTTTAATAAGAATATCTACCACCTTGTCGCGTCCATTTTTAGATGCAATCAGTAAGACATTCCATCCATTTCGTCTTACATAGTTTATGTCTGCTCCTGCTTTAATAAGAATATCTACCACCTTGTCATGTCCATTTTGAGATGCAATCATTAAGGCATTAGTTCCATAATGTCTTACATAGTTTATGTCTGCTCCTGCTTTTATAAGAATATCCACCACCTTGTCATGTCCATTTTGAGATGCAATCATTAAGGCATTAGTTCCATTTTCTCTTACATAGTTTATGTCTGCTCCTGCTTTAATAAGAATATCCACCACCTTGTCTTGTCCTATTAGAGATGCAATCATTAAGGCATTCCATCCATTTAGTTTTTCATAGTTTATGTCTGCTCTTGCTTTAATAAGAATATCTACCACCTGGTCATGTCCATTTTGAGATGCAATCATTAAGGCATTAGTTCCATAATGTCTTACATAGTTTATGTCTGCTCCTGCTTTTATAAGAATATCCACCACCTTACCATGTCCTTTTTGAGATGCAATCATTAAGGCATTAGATCCATCTTGTTTTACACAGATTATGTCTGCTCTTGCTTTAATAAGAATATCTACCACCTTGTCATGTCCATTTTCAGATGCAATCATTAAGGCATTAGTTCCATAATGTCTTACATAGTTTATGTCTGCTCCTGCTTTAATAAGAATATGTACCACCTTGTCGTGTCCATTATGAGATGCAATCATTAAGGCATTAGATCCATCTTGTTTTACAAAGTTTATATCTGCTCCTGCTTTAATAAGAATGTCTAATATCTTGTCATATCCATTTTCAGATGCAATCATTAAGGCATTCGTTCCATCTTCTCTTACATAGTTTGTGTCTGCTCCTGCTTTAATAAGAATATCCACCACCTTGTCGTGTCCTATTAGAGAAGCAATCATTAAAGCATTCCATCCATCTTGTTTTACATAGTTTATGTCTGCTCCTGCTTGAATAAGAATATCTACCACCTTGTCATGTCCATTTTGAGATGCAATCATTAAGGCATTAGTTCCATCTTGTTTTACATAGTTTATGTCTGCTCCTGCTATAATAAGAATATCTACCACCTTGTCTTGTCCATTTTGAGATGCAATCATTAAGGCATTAGATCCATCTTGTTTTACATAGTTTATATCTGCTCCTGCTTTAATAAGTATGTCTACCATCTTGTCATATCCATTTTTGGATGCAATCATTAAGGCATTAGTTCCATCTTCTCTTACATATTTTGTGTCTGCTCCTGCTTTAATAAGAATATCTACCACCTTGTCATGTCCATTTTCAGATGCAATCATTAAGGCATTAGGTCCTTCTTGTCTTAGATAGTTTATGTCTGCTCCTGCTTTAATAAGAATATCCACCACCTTGTTTTGTCCTATTAGAGAAGCAATCATTAAGGCATTCCATCCATCTTGTTTTACATAGTTTATGTCTGCTCCTGCTTGAATAAGAATATCTACCACCTTGTCATGTCCATTTTGAGATGCAAGCATTAAGGCATTAGTTCCATAATGTCTTACATAGTTTATGTCTGCTCCTGCTTTAATAAGAATATCTACCACCTTGTCGTGTCCATCTAGCGATGCAATCATTAAGGCATTGTATCCATCTTGTTTTACATAGTTAATGTCTGCTCCTGCTTTAATAAGATTTTCTACAATTTCGTCTTGTCCATTCTGAGATGCAATAAATAAGGCTTTACTTTCATCTTGTCTTTTATAGTTTATATCTACTCCTGCTTGAATTAGAATATCTACCTTTTTGTCGTGTCCTTTTTTAGATGCTATTATTTTGTTTAACGTAGTGCCCATTTATGTACAATGTAGAATATACACACGCCTGTTGTTTCCTTTTGTCGATGCCACAATTATCGCAATCACGAATGTTGTTCAATTTTGCGTTTCGTTTTCAGACCAATTATATTTGTCTTTTGTTAAATGACAAGCTTAAAGACGAGGTCACAATCAGCACACAACGCATCAACTGAAATAACGACATAGTTAAAATTAGGTATTAAAACATGTTGTAGGAAAATGAGAAAAGTGTGCAACAAAGACAGCAAAATACTCAAAAATTAGTTGACAGCAAATTCAATCATTATATAGAAGGAAGTCATTTAAACTAAAAACATTGATTAACTTTATACCAGAGGCCAGTTGTGTTTACAATAGTTTGATAAAATATTCTTAACGCGACTATTAAGTATTGCACTCAGGTTCCAGAGCAATCCACTTTCAAAATTTAAACAATCCGCATAACAATGTATTCTATAATATAAATGCCTTTTGTTATTTCAATAATCAATCCCTCTTTATATACAAAAATGCAACTAACTTTGTGAGCAGGTTTCTAATTTATCTCTTATTTATCATTACACCTCTCCCTTTAAAGCTTCTGTAATCTCTAAAATATAAACTTCGGAAAAGCTGCGCCTTGGCTGTCGGATGCGGTTTGGCCAAGTTCTCCCGCGCATAGTTCAGAATCTGGGTTCCGTTAATTGTTCGACCTGCACAGTGGTTTTGAGGTTTCAGGCAAACTGCACCATTCGCGTTCCTTATAGCCGTTGCAGTATGGCATCTCTTTTGGGCACTAACGGGTTGATTTAAGAGTTGATTAAACGCGTTGATTTAAAATCGATAAAAGCATTGATTTTAGCGTTGATTAAAGCATTGATCAAAGCGTTGATTAAAGCGTTAATTAAAGCGTTGATTAAAGTGTTGATAAAATCGTCGATTAAAGCATTGATTAAAGCATTGATAAAATCGTTAATTAAGGAATGTTAAATCGAACCAGAAGCGTTTGCCATAGCGCGAATAGATGCGCCTTTGGCTCCCTTTGTGAGCACTATGTCGCTTACGTTCGATTTTTAAAAAAGTCCAATGATAATTGATACTTAGCTCATTACTATTGAATTAAAATTAAGTCATGCATGTAAATAAAGCAGGTGGCAGCTCCCCTAAACTTTCTCGAATATACTTATATAACACTCTAAAACGCGTTGATGATTAGTAAACTTTCAAACACATTTTTAAAAGTGTTTTAGCGAATTTAAGTTTTGTCAATATAAAGAATATTCAATGTTTTTAAAAAAGTCACTTTAATAAAAATAAATGATGTAAGTCCTTCGTTTTCCGAGTTCACAGAAACAATTGAACTCTACTTTACTTGACCCATAGACCATCAGGTTTTAAAAGGAACTTGACTTATTTACTACGTCGTATATTTTAGTATGTAACAGTGAGTTAGATAACCTTCGTCTCTACATAAAAAAGTCGCCTTTGATGTGAGTAACACCCATAAGTTACTCGGTGGTGTCATATCCCCACATCCCTCCCCCATCACTTTTTGGAGTCGATGTTATTAACCCTCGGGCATAAATCGGGAAATTTTGGCAGACTTTTGTCTTTCAATTTACATAACAATTTTCTGATACATTTCATCAGGTTGGCTGACTATCCTTTCCAGTATAGTGTTTCCGTAATAGGCCAATCAAACTCGTTGATCAGAAGATGTGGTTACTCACTTGTCAGATTGAAGTATATCTTGGAAAAAACTAATGCTGGAAAACGTGTCTGTGTACAGTAAGACACAGTAATATTACACAAATTCTAAAATCTACTACACACAGTCAAGCACTCAAACATGTGCTTTTTTCTTAACAAAGTGTTTAATTGTTTGAGTCCTACTAGTGGGCCTATTAAGTAGATAAGACTGTTACTTGCATAAATATTGGGCGTTTGTAAATCTATGTTATCTATCTATCTATCTATATATATATATATATATATATATATAAAGCAATGTATGTTTGTGTGTGTGTGTGTGTGTGTCTGTCCTTTATGCATTACTACACCTCTCATCACATCACCGTGAAACTTTGGGAAGTTGTTGAGAATATTCCTGGGGAAGTTTCTGCGAAAAAAAAAAATTTCAAATTCGCAGGGGTGGCGCCCCGACAGGGCGCGATTTGTTTTTCTCTATATAAAAATAAAAGTCGATTTTGGTTTGGCATCGTTCATCCGATAGCCATGAAACTTTGGGGAGTTTATTATACTACTCTAGGGAAGGGTTCTGTAAAAAAATAATTTTTAGTTTTCCAAGGGCAGCGCCAAGAGAGGGTGCGATTTTTCTCTATATACGGTATATAAAAATAATAAAAGTGAATTGCATTGACACCGTTCATCCGATAGGCATGAAACTTTGGGGAGTTCATTATAAAATTCTAGGAAAGGGTTCTGTAAAAAAAATCATTTTTAATTTTTCAAGGGCGGCGCCACCGGAGGGTGCGATTTTTCTCTATATACGGTTTATAAAAATAAAAGTCTATTACGGTTTCACACCGTTCATCCGTGTACCATGAAACTTTGGGGGAGATGATTAGATCACTCAATGGTAGGCTTCTGCAAAAAAATATTTTTTAATATTGCAAGGGCGGTGCCCCCGGGGAGAGCGATTTTTTTTCTCTATACACGGTATATAAAAAATAAAACTCGGATGCGGTTCGTCGGAATGCCATGAAACTTTCAGAAGTAGATGAGAATACTCCCGAGAATATTTCTGCGAAAAAGAAAACTAAAGTTTCTTATGGGCGGCGCCATGTAGGGTACATGGTTCGTCAATACACGGTTTGGTGCCAAGTGTTTTAGAGCGACTATGTTGGCACTTGGCATCCGTTAATCGAGCGTCCTGCATAGTGAGTAAGGGATACTACTTTATTCAGCGGTAAAACTACAACAGGCTTCTAAATAATAACTTTGTAACGCGAGGAAATCCTATACAGTTTCGTCTCCTTAAGAAAGATAAAAAAAATACTTTTTGAATATGAGGAGCCTTCTGTAGAGTTTCGTCACTTTGCGAATGATGCAATCAGCATCTATTATTAGACGATCCAGTCAGAAATTGAGATCGAGCATCTAATAATAGACCATTAGTAACGCTAGCATATTGCATCAGTCACACTTATGTTTAAAACAAATCAAATAATTTTTTACGTGTTACGGGGCGGGTACGCTAGTACACCTATAAATTACACAATAACTTGTGCAAGCTTTAAAAAGAAAACATTATTCTGAAATGTTTAATCTATTGAAAGTGTAAAAATGATCAATTATAATTTTAAAAACCTAACATAATTTTCGTAAAACACACTGTGATTCTGGCCAAACTCATTTGTAACTAGACAGTTCTGTTGCAGAAATGTCTATATTTAAAATAGCAAACAAATATAAATAAAATAAGATACGCCTATATTTTTGGAATAGAGTCGGCTTGCACATAGATTACATAGCATCTTTTAAGAAGTTACATAATCACAAACAAACTATTGAGCAGCATCCTTCTATTTGTAACGTTATCAGTTATATTTTCTTTTAGTAAGCTTCGAGTTAACTGACAATGAGCAAAAGTGATTTCAAAGTAAATGTATGGTATATTTTGAGCAGAAAGTGGGGTTACGAAACCTGACAGTTGTTAGTTATGTAACATAGTTGGACCATTTTATATACTACCATTCGCTTCAGCATATAAAAATGTCTGACTATAGATCTTCACGGTTACCAGAAAGATGCGCAACAAAAAAAACGCAAACAGAATATTGCGCAAACAGAAAAAAGGGCACACAGAAAAAGCGCAACAGAAAATACGCAACCAGAAAAAAAGCGAAAAAGAATACTGCGCAAAAAGAAATTTTAGCACAAAGACCTATATTGACTTAATAATTGTAATGGCTGCTGTGAGGGGTCGTGTTCGGCCTGATGCGATCTACTACCATTAAAAAAATACAACCACCATGAACATTCACGTAATGCTTGACACAATGCCTATGTTTTTTCCTTGTTCTATATTTATTTAACTACTATTCTCGTTTTAATAAAAAATAAAATCATCATTGATATCGGCATTACACGGATTATCTCTTACATTCTGCTTGCATACCATAACTACCAGTTTTATTGCAGAACTTCACGCTTTTTCATCCGCGTGGTAAACATGCATTTGTTATATCTCTCGCAAAAACATTCATTTGCACCAAAATATCCCGGAACAACACACATTATAATGATGTATTTAATCGTATTACATCATTACCTACCTACCCACCTACCCACCTACCTACCTAATTACCTATCTATCTACCTACCTAGCTCCCTACCTACCTATCTACCTATCTACCTACATACATATCTACCTACCTACTTACCTACTTACCTGCTTACCTACTTACCTACTTGCCTACTTGCCTACTTACCTACTTACCTACTTACCTACCTACCTACTTACCTACTTACCTACTTACCTACTTACCTACTTACCTACTTACCTACTTACCTACTTACCTACTTACCTACTTACCTACTTACCTACTTACCTACTTACCTACTTACCTACTTACCTACTTACCTACTTACCTACTTACCTACTTACCTACTTACCTACTTCCTACTTACCTACTTATCTACTTACCTACTTACCTACTCACCTACTTACCTACTCACCTACTCACCTACTCACCTACTCACCTACTCACCACTCACCTACTCACCTACTCACCTACTCACCTACTCACCTACTCACCTACTCACCTACTCACCTACTCACCTACTCACCTACTCACCTACTCACCTACTCACCTACTCACCTACTCACCTACTCACCTACCCACCTACTCACCTACTTACCTACTTACCTACTTACCTACTTACCTACTTACCTACTTACCTACTTACCTACTTAACTACTTAACTACTTACCTACTTACCTACTTACCTACTTACCTACTTACCTACTTAACTACTTACCTACTTACCTACTTACCTACTTACCTACTTACCTACTTACCTACTTACCTACTTACCTACTTACCTACTTACCTACTTACCTACTTACCTACTTACCTACTTACCTACTTACC